AAAAAAATTCAGGCCGTACAACTAAATATCATGCAGAAAACAACTAAATTTGTGCAAAATTGCGTTTTGCCGTTTCAAGAGCAGTCAATTCTACCTTGAGGTGGCCCCAAGAAAACTACGAAACATGCTGACTTTTACAGAAGAGCGCATTGCCTTTTGTTCTTGAAAGTTTAAATAAAATAATTTCGTTCTAAAAAAGAAAAAAAAAAAAAACATTTTGAGGTTGAGCTCTCGCGGAGCAACGTGGCGTCGTTTCTTGCGCCTCTTCTCTGTACAGCACGCCGCCGTCGAGCTTGGCAAGGCGTGCGACGGTGTCACGGTTTGCGCACGCAGGTAGACAGCAGGAGTTCGAGTTGTCTGGTAGATCTTGGTGGGAAGAAGCTTTTTTTCCACTCTTGTTGCTTCATGGATTTTCCTATTTCGACTGTTTCGCGCGGCGGTGTCCGCATGCGCTCTTCCACTGTCTTGATATCAGCAGATGCTTAGCGCTGCCGGGTCAGAGCATCCACTAGTAAGCTTGCTGTTTCTTACGTACACATCGCAATCACTCTCTACTGTCAACGTCAGGACACTATGTAAACAGCAACACAAAAGCCCAGTGAACGGGCAATCCCAAATGACGAGGCGATGTCATGTTAACGAATGCGCGCCGTTGGAGACTCACGCCTCATTTGTGTTTAAATCGGCTTTGAGACGGCAAATTCTTGCGTCGCTGAATAGTTCCGCCTTTCACCGCAGTATGCGTGACGGCTAGATTTCGCGGCGATATTGTCGCGTTTCCTTTTAGGAGAAGTCCACGTCAGCTGATGCCGCCCGTCGACTAGGCATCGTGTTTCGGAGTGTGAGGAGCCGCCCTTGGATACCAAGGGGACAACGGGCCTGCTAGGCTACACACTGGCAGTGGCAGCACCTGCGATTATCAACACGATGCCCGCCGTTTCTTCCCTTGCAGCTGAAAAGACGGACAAGGGGAAGCGGCAGTAAACTCCGTTTTCTTTCTTTGGACTTAACCGTGTCAGCTATCGTCGCCGGTGGCGTGCTGTGCGGCGAAGACGCGACGCCATATTGTGGTGCGAGAGTTCAACTTCAATAATTATTTTCTCGCTTTAAACAAAAATTACTTTGATAAAAGTCTCAGAATCAAAAGACAATCGATTTTTCTTCCAAACCCACCATAGTTTGTATTTTTACTTGAACCACCTCCGGGTGAAATAAACGGCTGTTTATGCGTCAAAACCCACTTTTTGGCAACTTCAGGCTTTCTTTTTACTGTGAGACATAGACGTAGGGGGCATCGGGGGGGGGGGGGGGGGCGCCCCGGGAGGGCATCGGGGCACCCCCCCCCCGATGCAGCACCCCCCCCCCCCCCCCCCCCCGGGAAAATGGAAAGTCTACGCCGCTGCTGCGAGATATTTAAGTGAGCAGTTTAAACATTTTGTATAGATTATATACCTGAAGGGCAATCCGTAAAAAGTTATATGAAGTCGTACTAAGATATTGAGGTGGGCTAGTTAGATATGCATGATATAAAAATTAAATTTTTATATCATGCATGTACTAAGATATTGAGGGGGCACGACACGGACGGAATGCCTTTCTCACACGGCTTTATGCTGCAGCTCCTGTCCTTCCTGGCACCATCTTCAACAAGTTTCATCGGCCAAGCGGTCTACACTTCGTCGTATGAGACAGCCAAATTCACACTGCTTCGGCTGCGAGATGACTCGTCGCCATCATCTGATCATCCAATCCCTGTGGTGATCGTTCCTGAGTACTTCCATTGGTTGAACCGCCAAGGGACACTTCCGCTTCCACCATGGCATTACCATCTACAAAAGGACCCTGCTTCCACTTCGCCGCTGGGAGAGTTGCGAGTTCAGCGCTCGTGGCTACCGGTTCGCACGGTTTTCTCGGGACGTGAAATTCTTTCTTTCTAGTCCAGTGGGCGGGGGTGTTTTTCGGAAAGTGGATAGGAAGTTCGTAGGCGTTGGCCACGGTGGGCGTCACCACCCCGTACGGGGGACAGCACCCTGTACAGCGGGTTCCGGCCTCCCAAACGATGTCCCACGCCAGCCAACTTCCGGACGGAGGAGCGACCCCCACGCCAGCAAAGCGACACCTGAGTGAGAGCAGCTCCGGCGCATTCGCACACACAACATCAATGCTACAAGACGACGAAGGGGCCATGGACGGCAGCGTTCTCGGTAGCAAGGAGGACGGCGACTTCACAACAGTCAACAGAAAGAAAAAGAGGACTCGACACGAAGGATCTCAACGGAGCCAAGGTATCGTGAAACTTCCTAATACGGCACGCACCGTTCTGTTCGCGCCAACCGTTCCCGCCACGAATCTGAGGAAAATCAACCGCCAGCTGCTATCGGACGAATTGGAAGCACTGGCTCCCGGTCAGTTTAGCGAGGTACGAGTAAACACACGGAAAAACATAATAGCCACGGATGCGAGGACGGAGGCGGGGGTGCTAGAGCTCCTCATTCTGACCAAAATATGCGGGGTGCCTGTCCGAGCTTTTCTCCCTCGTTCGAAGAACTCACGAGTAGGGGTAATTTCGGACGTCGACACCGATATCACCGAAGACAGACTGAGTAAGATAATCGGCAGCGGAGTGAGCGTCGTGCAAGTTAGGCGGCTAGGCAAATCGCAAGCAGTCAAGGTTGTGTTTGAGGGTGACACGCTTCCTGCCCACGTCAAGATTGGATTAGTAAGGCACAGCGTTAGGCCTTTCGTCCAGCGTCCTCTACAGTGCCGACAGTGCTTTCGCATCGGACACGTAGTGGCAACCTGTCCTAACAGCGCCATTTGTCCCAAATGCGCACAGGCTCATGGTGAAGAAAACTGCACTTCAGCACAGAAGTGCGTAAATTGTCAGCGAGCGCACGAGGCAACCTCGACGGAGTGCCCAAAGCTCCAAAAGGAGAAGGAGACCAAAAGGAGAAGGAGGTCAAGGTGCGAGAGAACATCACGTTCCTGGAAGCGGCCAAGGTAGTCGAGGAACAACGAAAAATCAAAAGGCGCAACAATCAACATGTAGAGAAACCCGGAGCGGGCACCTCGCAGCCTAAAAGCCAGACCACCGCGCAAGGAGTGGACCCTGGGGCACAAGGCAGTTCTAGTCCGGCAGGGGCAGCAAAGGCCGATAACCTACACAACAATTGCAGGGACAACCATGCGAGGGGTCTCACCTATCGCGATGTCACTCAGGGCACCCCCCCAATTCCGGCGGCGGACAAAAAGAAGCCACGTTACCATCCCGAGACACAGGGGATACTGTCAAAGCAAGGGACGTCAGTTCCAGAGTCCGCTGAGCGGTCTACCGCGAGCAAATTTATCAGCTTGGTGTTCAACACAGTGCGCCGGCTCCTCGAGCTGCTGCCGCCATCGGAGTTCCGCACAACACTAAACAGTCTTCTCTTCCTGGAGGGCCTCCTTGGGGCTGTCTTCTAAATGGACAGCACATAGAAGCAAGCAAGGCACGGGATGGCAGCACAAACCCCCAGAGGAAACACAATCACTCGAACGGCACCGACCGTCCTACAGTGGAATGCCAGAGGCCTCAACGCCAAGCACAGTGAGGTTAGCCTGCATCTGCAAAGCAACCCAAGCCCGGTGCTGGCATTGACGGAAGCGGGACTGCCGGGCAAAAGATCGCTACCTGGATACTTTAGACTAACGACACAGTCAATACCAGGATTTCCACATGGAAGCGCGGTATTATTTATACGGAAGGAAATACCGCATGTACAACTCGATACCAGCCAACTTTGCACGACCTCAGCAGAGTTCGTGGGAGCCAGGATGAGCATCGGGAACCGAACGTTCGCCATTCTTCTGGGATATGTACGACCAAATGGCACAGAACTGCCGAGCGAGGAAATTCTGGCATGGTGTAAGGACCGATCAGAGGAGTTGCTTATATGCGGCGACTTCAACGCACGTAATGTGGCTTGGGGAAGTGCTCGAACAGACAAGAGGGGGACGCCCTTATGACAGTAATAGAGCAGATGGGACTGGCGGTGGCGAATGATGGACGGCCGACGTTCTCCAGGCCTCCGAACTCGTACAGTGTTCTTGACGTGACAGCGCACTCGCCATCCCTGGAGATGAAGTGGGAGCTAGCCCCGGACACACGGGGAAGTGATCACTTCCCCATCCACATCACCATCAAGGGGTGTCAGGGGGCAAGGAAAGTCTTGCGTACGTGCACTAACTGGGACGTTTTTCGAGCAGCGCTGGATTTGAGCCAAGAAGAAATTCCAGCAGCTATAATTCAAGCGTTACAGATGGCCACACGCACTACTTCCGTCACAGAATGGCTCCCAAAGCCGGACCTCACATTTTTAAACCTTCAAGCGGCACGAACCAGGGCGCAGAGGAGGTACCGCCGGACGGGAGAGCCCGAGGACAAGACCAGTTTCAACAGGGTTTCGGCCAAGCTGCGAAGACACGCAAAGGTGCTGGTCAGGAATCGATGGAAACTCATGTGCAAGAATGCCAACGCACACTCGTCCATGACTAAGCTGTGGACCGTCCTGGGGACAATGACTGGGAAAAGCCGTTCAAGACATACCCTGCAGGTCTTGGCGCTGGCGGCCAACGAAACACCAGAAGCAGCAGCGGAGAGTCTGTGCGCCCTGTGCGCCCCGGCAGAGGCGGCGGGAAGACCTGGGGTACCAAACACCGCGTCGGGACCTCTGGATGCCCAGTTTACAGTCCAAGAACTGCAGAGTGCCCTTCGCAGATGTCGGAAGAAGAGCGCAGCCGGACCCGACGGAGTCCCGTACCAGGCACTCACGAACCTCACCGAAGTGGCCCAAGATGCCCTGGTCAAATGGTTCAACGCTATATAGAACTCCGGGGACGTCCCAAACGAGTGGAAAGAAGCAATGGTGGTGCCTTTGCTCAAGGCAGGGAAACCGCCAGGAAAGGCGGAGTCATACCGCCCAGTTTCACTAACCTCGTGCATAAGCAAGTTATTCGAGAGGATGGTGCAAGCTCGGATATGCTGGTACCTGGAAGAACATCATTGTCTCCCGAACTGCATGACCGGTTTTAGGAGAGGGCTGGCAGCCCAAGACAGTATCCTGGACCTAACAAGTGATATTGAGGACAACAAGAACAGGCGGAGGAACACGATTGCGGTGTTCTTGGACGTGGAACGAGCTTACGACAGCGTGCCGCTCCCTACGGTCCTTAAGAGAATGACTGAGATTAGCCTGACCGGTAAAATTCAAAAGTTCCTGGCAAATTTTTTAACCGGGCGAAAAATTCAGATCAGGTCCGAAGGTACAGTGTCCTCGCCAAGGGTGCTGCACAGAGGGTTGCCACAGGGAAGCGTGTTGAGCCCGGTGCTCTTTAACATCGTGATGGCTACACTACCGAACGCCATCCCACCAACCGCACTCCCGGTACAAGTGTCTATCTATGCAGACGATGTGTACCTCTGGGTGGCAGGAATATACACAACACAGATACACCGGAGCATACAAGACGCCACGCAAGCAGTAGACGAGTTTTTGGCTGAATCGGGGTTGTCCCTGTCAAAGAGCAAGACCGTCTGGATGCCGGTACGGGGGAATGGAAGAAGGTTTCAACCGCCAAGCATCGTGTTAGCGGGGGAGAACGTCACAAAGGTCACCAAGCAGAGGTTCCTGGGAATCGTCATCACAAGCAGGTTGAGATGGCCACAAGCCGTAAAAGCGACATCGGAAACATGCAGGCCTGCCATGAACGCTGTTCGCCGTATGACTGGAACCGCGTGGGGATGCACGGAGCGGACCACCACAGCTGCCCACACGGCGCTTGTAACGTCAAGGGTAATGTATAGACTCCCATACATGGCCCCATCTCGGACGGACCTGGAGAGGATGGAACAACGACATCGGCATGGACTACGAACAGCACTGGGGATTCCCAACGCTGCCAGGAACGACGCGGTCCTTCTGGAGGCGGGAACAGAGTCGCTCGCAAGACAGGCCAAAGGAAGGAGACTTCACCAGCTGGCGCGATTATCTATGACCCACCCGGGCAGATGGTTCCTACATCGAGTCCAGGCCCGGATGAAATCGCTATGGAGCGAGGCGGTAGAAGAGTTCCACAATGTCACGGACCCACTACCGACGAGGACGGACGAAGCAAGGATGGCTCCATGGGACGTAATCAAGGTGTCCAGTGACTTAAGAATCAAGCACCTGCGTTCCAAGAAAGATAGGTCAGGCATCGCTATCAGAGCAGCAGTTGAAGCACACTTGGAAGAACACCATAGGGGGAAGCTTCGAATATACACGGACGGGTCCGTAAACAAAGCAAGAACCTCCAGCACTGCGGCCTACTGCATACCAGAGAAAGGCTGGGAGTGGGGCGGGAGACTTCAAACACCCACATCTTCCACGGTGGCCGAACTGGTTGGCATCGATAAAGCCCTCCAAGCTGCCACCCTATTGCCACCACAGGGAATGGTGGTGCTCACCGACTCGAGATGCGCCCTTCAGAAGATTGCGAATGCAGAGTGCGGGGACCCAGCAACGACCGCCGTAAGAAAGTCACTAGCATCGTTGGAAGCACGCGGATCCACAGCGTGGCTCCAGTGGATTCCAGGGCATGCGGGGATCGAAGGGAATGAACAGGCAGACAGGCTGGCCGCAGCTGCTCACTTGGAAATCCCGGCTGTCCCGTCACCGGCAAATCCGCAACAGGCTGCACTTGACGTCCGCTGGTACCTTTTAAATGCAAGTAACGAGCCGGCGCTGCCAAAAGGAGCCCTGTCTGGATTGTCACGGGCGGCAGAGACCCTGGTGCGACGCTTGCGCACAAACACGGCCAACACGAAGGCTTTTCTGGTCAAGATGGGAAAACGGCGGATGTCAGAATGCTCGCAATGCGACGAGGAAGAGACTGTGCACCACATTCTCCGAGTCTGCCCGGCATACGAAGCTCAACGAACTGTGCTGTATGAACAAATCGGCATGGATAATCCGGGAGCAACAGTCGATATCCTCTTCCCAGATGGACCTCGAAGGAAGTGCCAGAAAGTGTTCAAGGCGGTGCTGCGCTTCCTGCGGGATATTGGCTTGATCGACCGACTGTAGTTGTATCTAAAACATAACAAAAGAATGTTTTTTTTTTTTAACAGCTCTTTAAGAGCTCGTCACCTGCCCATGCCAGCTAATTGGGGCTAGGCTAATTTAGGTGACGTAAAACCTAAACGGCGCACCACCACCACCACCTTCGCCGCTGGGGCACGACACGGACGGAATGCCTTTCTCACACGGCTTTATGCTGCAGGTTAGTTACCTAAAGTATGCAAAATGTTTCCGTTCCAATAACCTCCTTCTTTTTAAAGTGTCGTGCCCCTTCGACAAAAAGTGTCTACTAACTCGTCATTTGTATGCTAACCTCGGCAGAACGCTGTTGTCAATTCTCGAGTCGCTGTGGCTGAGTTCGATACTGCTTTTGGCTGGTGATATTGAATCTAATCCCGGACCTATATCGAAAGAGCAGGAAGAGCAGCTCGCGTCAGTTCTTGCTATTGTAAAAAAAAAATATAAACTGGTCAAACAACAATATGCTGAACAGTATTAAGAAACTAGAAGCGAATCGGAAACAGACTGAAGCAACGATCAAATCTTTGGAAGAGCGAGTATCACTGTTAGAGAAGGCCAAGCGCCTATCACAGGTTTGAACTCTGTCCAGCTTGAGAACGAGGTGCACTGGGACGTTCTTGTGTCTCATCTTCAATCGAAGGTTGATGAATTAGAAAATCGGTCACGTCGGAATAATCTGATCTTTTTTGGAATAAAAGAAACAAGTGAACGTGAAAGCTGGCTGGATTCCGAGAAGTTGATTATGGAACTGTGTGAATCGAAGCTTGGTGTAAAAGTGGAAAGCATCTCCAGAGCACATCGACTAGGTCGTTTAGCAAGTGATAAGCACAGGCCAATAATAGCCAAATTCTTGAATGAAAAAGAAATGGGAAATGTTCTTTCAAACGGATTTAAACTAAAAGGCACTGAATTTAGTGTTAGCAACGACTACTCAGCAGCAGTTACAGTCAAGCGTAGAAATCTGTTAAAATTTTCTAAAACTGTTGTGAAGGCTGGGGACAAAGTACGCTTGCGTTTTGACAAACTTTTTGTGAATGACGCAGCATATGTCTGGGACAGTGACCTTGAATCTGCAGTCCCTCTAGTAAACGCCACCGATGTAGATGAATGACATGTCAACTATTCGTTATCGCAAAACTGCTTTTCCCAGTTCCCCTGCATGTGTCAATTTGCCCTGCCGTAATCTTGATGTACCCGCGTCGACTTCCCATTCTGCTGAAATAAATTTGAACGTTTTGTATACCAACATTCGGAGTGTGTTATCAAAGCGAGACGACATCTCATCTTTGATTGAATCTTGCTCGGCTGATGTCATTGCTCTCACGGAAACCTGGTTGAATGATAAAGTCGATGACTCGGTTATTTTTGAGGGCGTGTCATCGTTTACTATATTTCGTCAGGATAGACAACGACGCAGGGGTGGCGGGGTTATGCTTGCTGTCAGGGAAAGTATAGTTTGTACACGCATTTGCGTTGACACGGGTTTAGAAAGTGCTTGGTTTTCCTTAAAAACAAAATATGCTACTGTTGTGTTTGGGGTTTGTTACAGACCTCCCGATTATAAATTGGGCTTTGTTTCAGCTTTTCATGATATACTTTGTGATTTGTCATTACGGTTTCCTGGCTGCTGCTTTATAATTTTCGGTGATTTCAATTTTCCCTCTATAGATTGGTCTCAAAATCAACCTTCTTGTTAGGGTAACATTGCTGAGTGTGAAAGTTTCATGGAGGCTTGCCTTGACTTCAACCTCTCGCAACTTGTAACAATACCCACGCGCTCCACTTCTTCGACCTCAAATATTCTTGACCTCATCTTGACTACACAACCCGACTTGTTTCATCCAATTACTACCCTTCCAGGGTTATCTGATCACAACGTCCTGTTTGCGCAAATCATTCTGCCAGTAACAAGAAAGGAAACGATTCGTAAACCCATTGGAAGTTATGGCCGTGCTAACTACGATGCAATAAACAGCGAATTGGCACTTTTTTATGAACAGGTTTTCCTGCTCAATTTTGAAAGCCGCACAGTTGAGCAAAACTGGGAGCTATATAAAAATAAGGTGAAATATCTTATTGATAAGCATATTCCTGTTATTTTCATTAAGACGTCAAATGTTTCTCCGTGGTATGATGTAAGCCTGAGGCGCCTAGGGAATAGGAAAAAACGTCTATTCCGGCGTGCCAGGTGCCGTGACAGTCCCTCCGACTGGCTTGCATACCATGAGTGCGAAACAGAATATAAGCAAAAAGTTGCTCTAACTAGAAATTCTTACTACCGAATCACTCTCCCCAATATGTTGCGTACAAACCCCAAAAAATTTATACAGTAATAAATCCTAAATCGGCTGACGCATTAAATCTTATTGATATATCGGGAAATTCATTATCTGACCTAGAAAGTGCTCATGTTTTGAATTCTGATTTTTCTGCAGTATTTTCATCTGAGAATACAGCCCTGCCCATTTTGGATACGTTTTTTTGAACATGATAAAATGGAAAGTATAACGATAAATTCATCTGGTGTTCTAAAACTAATTGATAACTTGAATATTTCTTCTTCGAGTGGTGAAGACGAAATTAATTCGAAGGTTTTAATGAATACTAAAACAGTTTCCGGTGTCATATTGTCCGCAATTTTTTCACAATCTTTGCTTTCTCATTCAGTTCCTAATGACTGGAAGGTCGGTAAAACTGTCCCGTTATTTTAATCGGGTGAACGCAGCTCCCCCTTAAACTATCGGCCCATATCCATTACAAGCATAGCCTCAAACATTTTTGAACATATATTGCATTCGAACATCATCCGATTTTTAGAGGGAAATCAATTTTTAATTACCAGCATGGGTTCCGGAAGGGTCATTCCTGCGAGACTCAACTCGCAGGATTCATCCATGATATCCATCTTTCTATTGACTTCGGTTACCAAATTGATGTTATTTTTCTTGATTTCGCCAAAGCGTTCGACCGGGTCCCACATAAACGTCTGTTACAAAAACTTACCCATCTAAAACTAGATGATAACATCATCCTGTGGATCAAAGACTGGCTTTCTGACCGAAGTCAGTACACGGTCGTGAACTCTTATAGTTCAACTTCTATTCCTGTGTCTTCGGGTGTTCCTCAAGGCTCCGTCCTTGGATCCTTGCTTTTCTTAATATATATTAATGACTTACCTTCATGTATTTCCTCCCGCATCCGTATTTTTGCAGACGACTGCGTTGTATATAGGCAAATTTCTAACGAAGAAGACAGCATGGAACTACAACATGACCTCACTAACCTATCATTGTGGTGCTCGACTTGACTCATGGAGCTTAACCCTTCTAAATGCAAACTCATCTCATTTGTTAGGAAAGAGACCTTTTTTTCTCATAACTATTTTATTGATTCTAACGTTGTTGAGTCTGTTTCCTCTTATAAATACTTAAGTGTTCACGTCGACTCGCATCTCTCCTTGAAGGTACATATTCGGTCATTGTTATCATCGTGCAATCGTTCTTTGGGCTACGTAAAACATACACTTCGTTGTGCTCTTCCTCATTTAAAAAAAACTGCATACCTTTCATTGATTCGGCCGAAACTTGAGTACGCATCGAGCATCTGGGATCCTCACCAAGCATATTTGATCACCGAAATAGAAGCCTTTCAAAACCGTGTTGCGCGCTTTATTTTTTCTGAATATTCTCGACATTCCAGCGTCACCTTATTAAAACAGAAAGCCGACCTTGCAGAACTGGCCTTAAGACGCAAAGTTTCTTGCTTATGTCTTTTTCATCGCATTTACTATGCACCATCTCTCAGCCAAGGCACCCTAACTCAGTCGCATTTCGTTACACCTCGTCTTAATCACTCATGTAAGATTGACCGTTCCACCTGCCGCACTTCTTCTTTTTTGTATTCCTTCTTTCCCAAAACAGCAGTGTGGTGGAATGATCTAACAGGGCGCATCGTCACCGAAATTAACCCTGATAGCTTTCGTTCGCTTATCAGCAGCCATTTAGGCATTGTATGACGCGACTTCTTGTATGTTGGCAATACTGTGGAAGAGATTATTTTTTGTTGCTTGATTTACGATGTTTTATATGTTTGCACTGCTGTGCATGTTCTTATTTTATTATTTTTGTGTGTTTCATATATGATGTACTTATCCCCCCCCCCCCCCCCCTTATGCAATGTCCTTCCCAGAAGGACCTTTAAGGTATTTCAATAAATAAATAAATATCATGCGAGTTAGCGCTTGTCCTGTCTACATGTTCTGTCCCTTGTCAAACCTTTGCGCTGTCTAATTTTTATGTTATATGAAATCACCGGAACAATTAGTTATTTTTAAATAACTAGCATAAAAAATTTTAAAAAATAATTAAATGAAACAAAACTGCACAAGTTCAACCACATTGCAAGTCGAAAGCCGTGCAGATTTAAGAAAAAATATTGATGGGTGTTTCATAAAAAAGCCGATTGTTTACCTAGTTTCACGCTATTTTTAAAAGTTAAAACCGCGCTCACGCAATCAATTTTTTTTTTGTCAAAAATATTTTAGGGCATGGCTACGGACAATGCGACAAAAGGCCATGATATCTTTTTTTTTTTTTTTTTTAGAAATCGAAGGCGGTCGTGCACAACGCCTAGGACGTTTGACATGGAATGACTGAATAGGAAAAGGTAAAAATAGCTGAATTTAACTCACTGAAAAGGGAGTTAAATATATCCCTCGTCCATTTCAGTGGTTTCATTTTTTCTGTGTGAACTATAGTTTATCTAACACGCACTGCTACGCGTACCTAAGAAAAAAAAAAAAAGAAAAAAAAGAAAGAAAACCGAAGCTTCGAAGACAGTACAGTACAGACTGTTTAGGATCAGTATGTAACAAACCTGTTAATGAAGATTTCTTCTCCTGAAGCTCGAGCTTTCTTGCTGGGGGCATTTCCAAGTCAAGGTGTTTCGGTTTCCCCCGATTTTGACGAAACCGGCTCAAGGGTTGCATTCCGGGGTATATCCAAATATACAGAAAACATGGCAAGGGGAGGAGATTAAAGCCCCTTTATAAAGGTGTTTTCACAAGTACCGCCAACCATTGTTGTGGAAATGCGCAAGACACGTGCCACGAGCGGGTGCTCCGCCGCCATTCGCTTCCAAGGGCCGCTCATATCAGTGCTGCGCCGCCATTTGCTTCCAAGGGCCGCTCGAGACCTGGGCCACGTGCGCTCGCGCATTTGGCGCTACTTGCAAAGACAAACGAAAACATATCGAGGGGCTTTAGAGGAGATCGAAGAGAGGCGCTCCCGAGCGGCCACCTCTAGAACTAACGCTGTGTGACAAACAAACCCTCTGACTGCAGTCATTAGTGAATTCGCTGCCATGGAAGACGACGACGCAAGGCTCGTGAAGCAACACTATCATTTTCTTCTGAACGCATCTAGAAGTACTCTAGTTCCCTCTTGCGTTCTTGGAAGGCAAAACAAGCACACAAGCACGTGTGGTCAGTGGCGCCACACGAAGGGGGTGGGGGACGGACCGGCCCGGGTGCACCGCTCAGGGGGTGCAGCTGGGCAGTGAAAAAGGGGAGGGGAGGGGGGGGGGGGGTTGCGGCAGACCACCACCCTGGGTGCCGCCGGCGCCGACCCTAGTGACGCCACTGTGGTCACGTGCAGGAGTGCCGGGCCAGCCGCGTCATGTCGGCCGGGTGTGCTGGATCGTGCGTGGCCGGCGCGGCGTCCGCGTTTTAATGCGAAAGCATTAACTGTCCCATGGGGCGAGCTGGCGTCATCAGTTTGAAGCTCGAAAACGGCAATTAGTTCCCGCGATTTCGCCTTCGGTTCCATCCCAGCTAAAAATACTTAATATATCCAATTGGAATTCCAACTGGTTTTGACTGGAACCAATTGGTTTTAGTGGGTTCCAACTGGAAGCACACTGGCCAATGGGTCTCACCAATTAGAATTATTTTTCCAATTGGAACCTGAATAGGTTCCAAATGGTTCCCATTAGTTCCCATGGGCAGTGACCAATTGGTTGTCCAAAAACCCAATTGGTACCAATAAGAAAATTCCAATTGGAACTTAATGGAAATTTTCAACTGGGATTGGCTGGCGCGCGTCGACGGGGCTCCTATTGGCCGCTGCGCGCTGAGCGTCCAAGGTCACCAGGAAGCATGCGCTGACCGGCGACGAAACGTACGCAGCAGACGAAAAAGGGAGCTGACGAGCGGCTTGCATGCTTTCGCATTCACAACTCCCAAGAAGTGCTTAGGCGTACCTCGAGCTTTTTTTTTTCTTTCTTTTTAATGATTCACAAAATGCTCACTTCACTTTTCAGCTACCGTCTCTCGCGACAATCATGGGCCACATCGACGAAAGCAAGTGATGCCTTATTGAAGGAGAGAACGTGCTCAACTCCGATCATGTCATCGAGTGCACCGTTGCCCCAGAGCCGACGATTAAAGCTTTCTGCCGACAGAAAACCGACGATAACTTATACACGGTTCAAAAGCATGCTTCGAGCACTGCGGTACACAGTAAATACGCACCATATCGCTACAGGTATGCAGCGAGCACGGTAACGATGCGGTGATAAGCTAGAGAAGTGATAGCGTCGGCGTTGTCTGCGACACAGCGACTGTCTGTGGTTATGATGATGATAATATTAGCAGGTGCAGGCATTTCCAGAAAAAAAAAGGGGGGGGGGGGAGGAGGGTTAGCGCATCATATGTTCGAGAACAACCTTCGCATTTCCCCACCATAAAGTTTTACACGCGGAGACCAGGACCATACGGTCTCCCCTCTAAATCTGCCACCGCCTTTAAAGGGATACTACAACGAAATTTCGGCGCTCATTTTTCGGTCTATACGTGTTCAAAGGAGCAGCATCACATCGAACATACCAATATCTTGTTAAAAAAGTCACGAAAAGGAATTTTAAAAGAAATTAAACGATTAGCAAAGAGCACCTGGTGGATGTCGCTAACACCTCGCTTGTAATGCCCGTCTAGGAACCTTGACAGCTAGTGACGGAGGTTGTCTCGCCTCCGGCCACGACGAGAGAAGAGGGGCAGGAGGAACTCCAGTCTTCCCTAGGGAGCCTTTATGTGCGCTTTGCTAGGGTGATGCCACCTTTTGTAATACCACTCGCCGACAAACCAGCAGCCATTTTGTTCCTCGGCGATAATCCGTGGGGCCTATAACCCTCCCGGAAACAAGCACCTTATCTCAGAAGTTCGGAGCAGCGTTGTGGAACCCACGGAGGGAGGATTATCTTTTTCCCCCTTGGATGGGATTACCGATGGACACAAAGGCCACTTTCCGGCGCACGGGGAAACAATGAGAGGAGCAAAATGGCGGTGGAAGAGGGTGTGGGAAAGGGAAACAGGCAGTTGGCATCACTCTATGCAAAGCGCACATGAAGGCACTCTAGTCTTCCCGAGAATGCCTTTTGTGTGTCGCAGAAGTTGCTATTGTCCCCCTACAAGATTACAGAAGATTAACCCGTCACTCAAAATTCGTACAAAAGCAGCCGCTTCGGTGGCTGGAACGACTATAGGCCATCCTCTCGACGTCAGCCTCGCCGTAGCTTTGCTCGTCCTGAGACGACCTACGTCACGATTGCGTTGGATGTCACGTGGTCTCCGCTGGGCCTTCTCCGAGCGCTTGCCAGAGTGGCCCGTTTATAACGAAAAATACAGCCACCAGGCTCAAAACACAAACGCGCGATTGTCATTTACGGATATTGTGGATCATATTCAACCTATTTTTGAACACGACGGGAATATTTCAAATTTCGTTGAAGTATCCCTTTAACAATGAACATGTCCTATTGCTTTATCATTTTTGAAAATTACTTTCCGAAATAAAAGACATACAGTACCTTTTTGTTGTAGCCATTCCCCTCCTAAGAAGCCACGCAGCGAGCCAAGCACAACAAAAATCAGGTGCACCACACACGGTACATCTAACTGCATCATTTATTTCTTGTCGTCGCCATAAAAAGTTTTCGCGTATGCTTATACACCTGCAGAGTTATACAGTGCAAATAGAATGAACAAGAAAAAAAAAAACAAGCTGCATTGGACAATGCAGCACAAATGAAATGGCCACCATGATTGGAAGTTTGATATGCGAGGTAATGCTATGGTCTTCCATATGGGCTGCTCAAACAGGAAAATGACACAGGCAAACGGCAGATGGCAACATGTCATAGCCGCACCATCCATTCCTTACACAAGGGCTCCGGGGGCCAATATGTTATTACATAATTTCTTCTGGTTCATCAACCGCATGTTAGTAGTATTTTGACGAGCTGAAAATTGCAGAAGCTACACTAGTTTATGCTTGAGGTGTTAGTTATTCGTGACTGGAGAAACATTTATACATGTCAACAAACATGTTCTGCATCCAGTGCGTGCGTCTATCATGACCCTTCTACAGCGACGTTCTCTGTATGTACAGGTTACAAAGAGTAGAAATTGTCAGTTTACAAACAAGCCGCAGAAGTTTTACGGAGGAACACATGCGGATGCCCCAAGCACATCCAGTAACATTTCAATTGTCTAAGACCTACGAGAATGTCGCCTTCTCCGTGGAACACTTCACAGCGTCCAGCACATGCACCCTGTGATGGCACATTTGTCGGTTCGAACCAAGTCCTTAAAGTCACGCAACAGAAATGCATGATATGTAAAGGGTGCAATACAGTTCAAATACAAAATATAGTCCAGATATCACTGAGCTGGCACTGATGTTTCCATTAAGCCAAAGAAAATGATATGCAGCACTAGTTGTCCCTAGCTCACAGCTGTCTTCTATCGTGTACATACATCAAATGCTGCCATTTGTAACAAATATCAACATCGTAACATTTCTTGTACCACAAACCTGTAGCAATAGTTACAATCTTGATGTGCCATGTATATTGGGACTACTACAGTTTTCCTATCTCCATTAGGGATGCTGCGTTTTAACATTCAATCAGATTAAGAATGAAAAAAAGAAACTCCATGTATGTTTTTGCAGGGACATCTAAGACATATTCGAAGGTTATTGCTTTTTAACTGTTACACGACAATACATTTTCACTCTCTGCAGAGGGGAACACTTTTCGGAATCGTTCTCACCATGAGCAGCTTCATAAATAGTACAACCTCTCACAAGGCAGTCATTGCTAGTCAAACCTGTAATGATAATAATGGCAGCAGGCACCTTAATACTGAGGGAATGGCAGAAGTTATGTTTTTATGAGTGAAATGCCTACACATAACACCAAGCCAATATCCTGGAATAACTAGCTGCGCAAGCTACTAAATGCAAAGGAGCAAAAATAACAGGTTGATGCAAATGAGTCTAAACAACTGGAAATGTTGATGGGAGTAAAGCCTGCGGTATGTATGCCAACTAACATATCAAAGAAGCCAGCATCTTGAGCCTGATGAGCCATCGAACAACTGTGCTTTTTGTACACAAGTACCTGTTCAAAAACCTAGTATGCATGTTCAACATCCTCATTCTTCATTGGGGCATGGCTGAATTCCATTCTCATCTGGCTGGCCTAAAAAAAGACAAAATAGGTTTGCTTGTAATGAAACAAAAAAAACAAAAAACAACTTGGCAGAAGTGTTGTGGCACCATCCAAACAGACACACACACACACATGTCAAGGGTGGAATGTATTCTGTACAGACCCTATTATATGAGCACAAAGACAGCCATTGCACATGTGGCAAATTGCCATCACTGTTCATGTTCTGGTACCTACCCCTATTTTCGTGATGTGTCCGACCCCTGCCTGTTTCTTGCCGTCGTTCGCGTCTATCACTTGAAGAAGGGCGTCTGCCCGAAACGTCGTGTATACCTCCTTGTCCGCATATTTTTTCGAGAAGCACAACCTTATTACTTGCGATTACGTGTTGCAACTGAAGACATCATTTATGGAAGGTCAGAAGGATTTGTGAAGTAAGCAGTGTCATTCCATCTCTTGATTTTATACTGATGGCTCCACATTGTGAGATTCTTCTTTCAGTAAGCAAATAATTTTTCAGTCGTGTCACACCAGACATTCTTCTCTCTCTCTCTCCACATTTATATATATATATATATATATATATATATATATATATATATATAAGAGGAAAAGAACCCTTAGTGGAAACAGCAACAATGGACGACTTAATCTTCCGACATTTCGGCCGGCGTCCGGCCGGAGTCAGGAAGGCCGGACTCCTGACAAAGGCCGGACCCCGGCCGAAACGTCGAAGATTAAATCGTCCGTTGTTGCTGTTTTCACTAAGGGTTCGTTTTTTCTTCTATACCCACACCTTCGGCCCCCGCCACCATGACCATTGTATATATATATAGTATGCCAGAAATTTACCCGGACTGCTTTGTTTGATGTTACATAAATTCTGCAGCTACTACCGTGAAATACAATGCACCCCCCCCCCCCCCATTCCACACTAATCGCCCATTCCCAAATTTGTAAGATGCGAGAAAATAGGCACAGTACCTTTATTTGTAAAACTGATGACCGGACAAGCACCCATCCCCCACTTTTTAGTGATTATCTCTAAATTTTCAGTGGGCCTTTGCCTGGTATTTTACGGTATATATATATAAACCATAAAAGTAATCTCAAGATAAATCAAGCAGCCTTGGCAAAAAATGAGAACATGTGTTCTTGACTGAGAAAAACAAAGCACTCTTGAAAACCAGGCAAAACTCATAATATAGCTCTTCATTCAAAACAAATTTCTTACTGTTTCCAGGGAAAGACAACATTAGCCGAATTAGTGCAGAACCGGACAATTTGATACCAGATGTTTCGGTGCGGACATTTCGATGCCAGACGTTTTGATACATGGTCGTTTCGGTACTGGGCATTTTGGTGCGCGGGAATTTTGGGGCATCGCCGGATGTTGCCTTCTTGAGATCAAATCATATTTCGCAACGTCCCCTTTGAAAAAGTCTTTTGTGCATTTGGCCCCATAAGGGCATACAGGTGTTGGTCAAAATGGTGGGTTCTTGTGCTTTTGTTGAAAAGGGTAGAACTATTGTTGTCGCTTCTTTAGTAAAGTTACAGCTTTAGTGTAATTGATTATGTACAGAATAACAGGATAAAAGGGCAAAAAGTATCTCATGTAAACGTTTGCGTGAATAAATTCAACTTCTTTGTTCGATTTCTGACACTTGCTTTTTGTCTTGGGTTGCAGGAGTATTAGTTGGTTTTTCTGTCAGTCACTTAAACATCAAGTTGCTTATGCGTCGGATATTCGGCAACGGCGTCCTCTCTGCCTAGCAAACAGAGACTATTCCGTTTAAAACGGTTCAAACGTGACAAGCATCGAGTAAATGTGGACAAGGTATGTCAGAATTGTGTATGTAATATATAGGTTCCAGACCCTCTATTTTAATATTTTTGCTTTCCACATTTTTTTTTTTTGTAGCTATGCTGTGGAGTATTCGCATAATTGAAGACTTATAGTGTCTCCTTCATCAAAGCGAAAAAGTTTTTGTTAATCTTTTTTGTGCAAATCATTTTGTCAGTTCGTTTTGAAGCGAAATTATCTACTATAATGATAAGGCCACAAACAAAAGTTCTTTTTTTGATAGTTTACCAAACCAAGCAACCACATACCAAAATGCCAGGTACCGAAACGACCGCACATTGAAACGTCTGCACCGAAATGTGCAAAAGGTCCCGTAACAAAATGTCCTAGACCCAAATTTTTGTTGTCTTGATACCCAAAGTCCTGCGCAAGACTACAGCTGCAAACAATAATGTTTAAAAAATAACCTAAACTTGCAGCTAACTGTTTCACAACATGATACTTAAAAATACAATTTACCTTTCTGATTTAATTTGGCTAGTGATAAAAACAATCCCTACTTTTTTGTTCCTTACAGTAACACAAGAGTCACTTTGCAAAATTGAGTGCTAGCTCACCTACTCGAAACATGCCAGTCTCAGACAGAAAAAAACTTGAATTATACAAGGTTTTGATGCAAAACAAAGTTCTAAAAGGTAGGTATCTAAATCCATAAAAAATACTTCTCTTGAGGCCAAATTTTAACCCAGCTTCCTATTCCTAAAGCCATGAGAACATGGATGTGCCTGAGAGTAGAATGATATCTGAATCAGCAAATAGGTTGTTGTTTAGCTATTTTAGCAAGAATTGAAAACTCTGCACTTTTATGCAAGTACTGTACTTGTCAATAAAATAAACGCAACTCTAAAAATGGCAAGTAGAGCATACCATCCAGCACAATGCTTGTCTTTGGCCATCTTAATGAAACTGTTTAAAAACACTAAGGTGAAACAGTTAGGATACATGTCTGTCTCTGTAAAATCGAAGCATCTACTTTGTACAAGAATCATTTCCTAGTTCTTCTGCACATTTTGGCAAATGTAAAATGAAATATGCAGGTATGCCTGCACCCCAAAGGTACACACCTTGATACATGCAGGATGGCACACATAATCAATGTACAAAGTTACAAAATGCTGCCTCCTAAATACCTTAGCAGTACATACCAAAAACGCTACATACTATGCAGAATTATTGCAAAGCACACAAACTCAGTCCACGCCACCACAAACAGTTTGACAAGGAAATATGAGTCATTTGCCCGAGTGCAAGAAAGGGGGGCAGAAAAAGCACACCCCCCTGCTTGTTTACATCGAACACAGTTAGCAGCATCAGCTAAAGCCTTTCCACAACCTCCTCTTGCAAGTGTCGTTCCTGTGACCTAGCCAACCAATATAAGTAAATTTGAAGCTAACTTGGCTGAATGTTTTACCCTAATACACTCGAAACATGGAAAGGATGAAACAGTTTCCTTGAGAAACATCGGAACAATTTTGCAAGCTGTGCCTTCAGCACGTGCACAGGGAAATAGTATAGTAATTACAGTTACCTACTAAGACCTAAAGTAGTACATCAAGTAAGGCACATAACCCTAGACTGCAATTCAGACACCCAGTGCACTTTTACACCAGGTCAAACATGAAGGATGCAAAAACATTCGGTTGCACCCCGAGCATTGGGGGCTATTCCTGTCTTCCCCACAAAGACCTCCATTGAAGCATTTCTCTCCTTTCCAATTCTCGTTGTAGAAACTCTGAGTGAACATATCGTTCACAACACATCATGCCAAGAAGCACACACTGCCAAGCTCCAGTCAGTCATCACCACCTCCCTCAATATCAAAACCTTATATACGGTAAAGACCCCAAGCAACACAAATATTCCAACGCATGTCCCAAAGTCGGGTTGCGTTGCTAATCTGCAAAATCGCAGATGCAATGCAAGGGTGGTTTCGTGAAAAGGTTCCAGGGCCACATTTTGCTAACTTTTGATGAGTTTGAGAGAGGATTCAATTTCGTAGATAGAACTACCATACTAGGTGAGGACTTCACAATAATGCAACGGAGATGTACTTCTTAGTTGGGCGAATCGCCGCCGTTTAGCAGTCCGGAAGAACGATGTGGCCAGTTGGTCGCTGGCGCGGGAAGTTTAAAGCCAACGGAGCCCACTTCCCAAGACATACTTTGCAGAAACAGTGGTGGCAATGGTTGCGAGAAGACAAGAGGTTTTCCGAGTAGTAATTAAACTGAGCAGACGGCACAATTGCGTAATTTCAAAGTCAGTTTGCTTTGGGAAGGGGGGGCAGACACAGATCCTGAAACGAGAATCACAAAAGGGGCTATGCAAGACGCTTCATCACAAGTGCAAGTTCCGCTCCAGCTCGGCACTGGCGAAGTCGTCGTCCTCGCTGCCAATGTCGTTGAAGTCGACGATGCCGCCTCGGCCGTACAGGCCGGAGATAGCTGTGTGGTGCAGACTGCCTGCATGAACTCCCATCGAGATGCCTAAAAGAGAAATTGGCTATGCTGTCAGTTCACTGATACGAAAGAAATCATGGCTTTCAAAATCCAATGCTTTCAGCAAATGTAAAGGCATTGATGCAAGCATTTTTGACACATTTCCATAATTACAATGAAACAAAAGTATATTCAAAATGCTGAGAAAATAGAACAACTGAACAGGCACACTGCTGTGTCTGTTCAATTTGTCCACTCTCCCCTTGCACCCTTCTGCTCTTTTTTTTTTTTGTCGTGAATTAAATGTTTTGTTTTGGCCCTTCCAACTTTTAGGCATGATCAAAACTTTAAAATGGATACCATCAGTCAGTCAAAGGTATGCTATTTTCCAGATATGCGAGAACCACTGCATCGCAGAGCTTTCTCCAAAGGAGTCAGTAAAAGTAGTGTAATAATGATCCTGACAAAAAGCCATCGCATATACAAATGTGACAAAAGCAATCAACTTTGAAGTTTACCGAGCCCAGTTCATGTATAGCACTGACTTGAAGATCTATCCTAGGTCGAAACGCAAGATCTAGTGAGAAAGAGGCATATTAAAAGAATCATTTACGGTCGCTTAAAAATTTGGGGATGGCCAAAATAAAACCTCAGCACAGCCACAGACAGCCAGCCATACATACATACCGGTCTCAGAGCTCGCATCGACAGTGTCTGCTGGCATCTACAGCAAAACATTGTTCATATATTACCTGTTCATACATCTTACTGGCAGTTATGGTCCACAGACGCAGGTCCCATTGAACTCGCCTAGGAATATGTGGGTGAATTTTCTATTCGTCACGTCTGACCTCCCGGTTCTTACATTTAAAAAGTGCCATTTGAAGCAACCAGCGCGAAAAGCTGGGCTGGTTGGCTGTGGCCAGCCCCTTCCTCTTGCTCTGCATCCCCCGCCTCCCCCTTTTTCACATCTTTGCCCCTCTGCACCTTGCTTGCCCAGGTAAACAGGACCTTGGATGAGGACTGCAAGGAATTCATGCCTTCACAACAGCCTGTTTTTTTTCCGTCTATTTCTCTACGCACACACTTCTGTTCTGCTTGGGTCTCCTGGTTCCAATAGTTCCACCGCATTTCGACACTTATGACCTCGAGGAAAATCAAAACTCGCTTACAAATTAACGAGAACTTTAATTTGACGGTGTCCATTGTCCCCATGGCTAAAGCACGCTCGTCAACCACACTGGCCACGTCATTGTCCGAATTTTCGGACAATCAGCCGCCACTGTCGCAATATCAAGAGCAGCGAGCTACTAAGCTGCAAGGAGACACTTTGGCAAATGGTTAAATGGCAGCTGTGGTGACAAGACTGCCTCCTACTTCTGATAACATATCCTGATTATCACATAAACCACAGGTCTCCATGTTGATCCCATCAAGCTTCACCACCTTACACCAGCACATTATAGTTGGCGCAGGATAAGGAAGGCAGGACGCTTCTTTCTAGTGCCCGGCTTCCAGCACGTGCCGAGAGCCCCTGGGAACTAGCGAAAAAACGCTGGGGAGAGATGGTACGGATCCTACTGAGACATGCTCGACCCTAGCTTGGCGCGTCTGATGCTTCTGCCTTTCGCTGGCAAGTGCCACCCGTACGGGAGGCCATGCATTCCGGCGTTCGCATTTCATTCTGTGCTGATGGCAGACACTCGAGTTACACGAGGTGCCGAAGCATTACCGAAGGTAGGAAACTTGCAAAGGAAGTGGGACAGCGAAACAACCTCCTTTGAGTTTTCATCCCGTCTGAGACTATAGGAGCAGTACGCAACACGGAGAAGCATATAGGTTAGTTTGATATACCTGGAAATTTCGATCACTCAAAAAAGTTGACATTCTTCGGTTAGAATTACAGGTCAGTCCCTAAATAAATAAAAAAACAATGCCAGAAAAAAAAAAATTACATTAAATAATTACAGCGGTTCTGCACAATTTCGGAAGTATATGTGAAATAAATTGCTAAGTGACATCTGCATTCTGTCTTGTGTACAGCCTAGCCAAAGGGCGTCATTGGTTGTTGTGTCTTCCCGGATCGCAGATTCAGACGTTCAGATCATATGTTCCCACAAAATGTATCAACAAAGTTTTGTATTAATGACCTTCTTAAAATCTTCAAGAAGGAGCTTAAAAATTACAGGAGGACACTGAGATTGGAACGTGAGATCTAGACATATAAACTCCCCCTCGTTTACAAGCCCTGCAAGCGTGTCTGTATGGCCTCGTTAGTAGCGTGTCTGGATCGCAACCAAAGGGTCTTGGGTAAGAATCCCTGCCTAAAATTCTTTAAATGTTTTCTTTAAGGCAAATGAATTACTTTATAAAGTGAAAACGTTTTGGACATGTGGCAACCTTTAATTCACATTACGTGTCATGTTTTAATCACTTTGATTTCATGCGTGCATTGTGAGGTGTTTGAAATTCCCGCGCGAGGTCATGTGGCTGTGACGTCATGACCCTATCGACCAATCAGGATTTTCCCGTCCCACTGACATAGACGTTTCTGTGACATAAGCCCCTTAACGCTCTCGTGTTAAAAATGCAAGTCCTTGCGGGCTCGAGATGAGACGTCGCATCACATAGCAGCCCAGAGAGAAAATCTCTCGCTTCCTACAAGCCAAAGCAAAATGGTTGCAAAACAATTGTGTCCAGAGACCTAGCCTCCACTCTCACTTTCAAGAGCAGCAAAACCACACCTTTTGGAAATGGGTCATGCCTATCTTGAAGACATTGTCTACATTCTATAGACCCAGCTGCTGGTTATTGGGTCCTATGAAACTACTTTCTGGTTTCATTTGAGTGAAGCACATAAACTTCAGACAACAAAGTCACAGTTCCAGCAGTCAGTACTATACAGCATAAATTTGCTTTTATTTACCCACTGCACTAAACATTTTAAGAACATGTAACGTTTTGAGTTTCCCACAGCCTCGTATAGAGGCAAACTTAGAATACTTTTTTTCTGTAAAACTGGACGTGTACACAAGATTGAACCAAGTGCAAAGTGAAGCAAGACCAAATCTGGTTTCGACAGCCCATCTATGTAAACAATAAAACTCAGGCTATTTATTATTCACTGCATGCAACACAACACAAAAGTTCAAGATGCCAAAAGCATTCAAGTCGAGCAGGTAGCCTGGAAAGAAGCAAATGAATAAGGGGCGGGTGAAGACTGAAACAAAAGAAAAGTACCAGTGAGGCAACAGAAGAAACAGAAACTGAAAAGAAACAGTGAAATAAGTAAAACACAAAAGAAAACAGAACACAGAAAAGCAGCTCCCTGGTACAACAGTCCGCTGCAGCGTGCTGTTATGCGAGCTGTAGTGCAACCCAAAAAGAATGAATTGGCACAGAAATTCAAAAGCAGAGTCAAAAGTAGCACAGCAATTTTTATACTATAATGCAAAATGTATCATATGGCAGTGGAAAGTAAGTGGACTGACGAGTGATCTTTCCAAAGGTTCTACTACCAACCTAAATCCAATAAGCAGAAGACCTCTACAAAGCTACGGGGGAATATCCCCCGGATATTCCCCTGTATACTCCCGCATATTACTCCCGTATATACTCCCAAGCTTATGCAATTCTATTCTGTTCAGATGGTGGTGATAGACCACAACCATTGCAAAGGGGGTGCGCATGGGCCCCCAAAGAACTGAACTGAAACAGGTAGTTGTTTCAGTGCCCCAGCAATCGATTCGATCGATGAAGTGCTGCCTAAAGCCTTATACTTGCCATGTGAGGGGGATCCTTATAGTGTCTTCCTTAAGATTCTCTCTAAGCTGATTTGGTACCATTGCACCCGTATATGCACATAGCTTTAAATTGGGTTACCAAGCCCTCGAGCAAGCTATTGGCGGTGCTCGACGGTACGTCGGAGTTGAAATCGCCAGCTGGGGACAACACCGTGTATGTGAATGTCATTAAAATAAAGCCCTTCAAAAGAAAATCCCAATCAGAAAACCAATTTTTGAAAAAAAAAAGCAATTGCCAAAATTAAGAACAAGAGCAAAGTAACAAAAGCCAAACCATACAGGCAAAACACATCTGTGTGCACAATTGAGACATTTCAAGTCGTAGCGTCGTCGTCGCTGCTACAAAAAAATGCGGGCAGCCTAAAGGCATTTTTTGTTCTCCGCTCTTACTTCTCGTGCCGTGCCCAACACGGTATAGTGAGGTAGTATATATCTGCGCAAATCTACGAGGAGCATCGCCCCACCTGCGTGGTCGTGGAGTCTTCCGTTCCTAGACGACATCGGCTCCGGCTGGAGTCCCCTGGTCCTCGGCAGCGAGTGTCCGGGCGTTGTGTAGGGCGAGCTGTGTGGAGACAACGACGAGGTTCCCCTGGGTGCTGGCTGCAGTCAAGGAAAAAGCACATTCGCAAACAATTGGCATTTGTTTTTATGGAGTAACAAAGGGTCCCTCTCAATTTGTGGTAGAGCGAGACCATAGTCACTGACAAGGTGAGAACTGCGGTGCTCCTCTTTCCGAATGCCCCCCCGACTTCAGTACAGAGCTCGTTGCTTTTGCCGAGTTTTTGCCGCGCGTTCACACTCGAGGCTCACAAGACGCCCATGTGCTATTGAAGGTAGGAAGATTGCGCTGGAGGTGTGAATCAAAGCTCCTCCCTGCTGTTCTCATCCTGTCAGTAATCAAAATGCAACATATGCAATATTAAAAGAAAGAACATTAATTAGCCAAAAGTAACTGTATCATCAACTGTAATGAACAAAAGACATGTGCGTAATGTTTTAAACACCAGTCACCTGAAGCTGCATGGTTCTTGCTACAAGATGCTACTGCATGTTATACATTACTGACTGGGTGCCTCGTTAATTAGTACCACTACCTGCATGCTTGTGTGAAGAGAATGGAAGCTTTTCTCAGCATGCTTGGTGCAGACAAAACAGTAGTGCGCTAGAACATTACAAATGGCTCTTGCTTGCAGCGAACCTTGACGAATCTGCGAACTTACCCATCCTCTCACCTTACTTTCGTTACCTAACCAATAGCATCGAAGAGAGAGAGACCAAACCCCCCCCACGAAAAACCTCGAAGGTGAATGTTTGGCCAAAGTGCATGTCAGAAACAATGAAGGAGCAACATTTACCTTATACGCTCACAACAGTTCTATCTACCTTCATAAGAGGCAACCAGCATCATTATAGACACTCTCAGTAGGCAAACTTCCTTATATGCATACTTGCAAGAACTCTTCTCAAGGTTTATCACCAGCTGATGAAAGCACAAGCATTTCGCATGCTGTGGCTTGTTCTGACAAGTTGCAAACTTGTCCACCACTGGCACTGCAAGTCAGTGGTAACGAACACGGGCAAAGGCAAAGGAGAGGGAGGTTCGTGCCTTGTTGGAAGTTTGCTAACTGAGAAATGAGCTAATCTAGTAATGCCACTTGCAGCTCTTGGTACTCCAGACGGCCCTAGCAGTCAGTGCTTCGAAAGAACGACGTTTCACATTACCCAGCATATTAGCCACCGATGGATGGAAAAATAGAATGCAAACCGAATCGACGCACAACCAGTAAAAACTTGCTACATTAAGTTGTTCCCACGTCATGGGGTAAGAAATCTTGTCATCTATGTATTTACACTTTTACCTTACTTGCCCCATTGTTTAAGTACTAATAAACAAGCTTTTTGACAGATGCTTTTTTAATCGCACGTAACCATTTTGATTGAGTGACCAGAAGCAATCAAACTCAAAAAGCCCACTTTGGCTTGAAACAGGGGTAATCGAATGTGGCGGCATTGTTGCCAAGGCCCCGCGTAGCGTGGAGACGGTTTCTGCGGCGTTGCATCCTGTCTAGACGAGTTTCCCCGGCGTGGCTCCCACTTGCCTCATCCAGGAGCTGCCTGAGCCTGTGCAGCTGTGCCTCCAGCTGCCGGTTGTGGTCCTCGAGGATGTGCATGCGTGCCTCCAGGCGCCCCTTGTGCTGCCTCAGCAGCTTGGCCTCGGCCAGCATCTCTTCGTCCCGGCTCGCAGGGCTCAGGGCGGCCTCTTCCTCCAACTGGCTCGGCGTGGGACTCAGGCCGCCCCCGTGCAGACTCTGGAGTTCCTGCAGGCGGTCATACTCGGCCTGCAGGTGCCTGCGCAACCAGAGACCAAACGGGGTTTAGATTCACGCAAAGGTCTGGATCGGAATGGAGCATTGGTGGCCAAGACTATTCGCATCTCCAGCTCGTTGTTCGCCCTCCTGCGGCGGAAAAAGGAAGCACTCTAGTGAGGGTCCCCCAATTCTCCTGCTCAGTGGGCACGGCAGAACTGCTAATGATCATGGCTTGCAAATCCAAATACAAACAACACTCTCACTGCCCCAATGTAGTGCTGCAGCCGGTATGGGATGGCACCTTATTAGAGAGTTTTTGTATTGTGTGTAGAAGCAAACGAAACTGATGTGCATTAGCATTAGAGCTGCATGCTCCACATTGCGCATGCGCGTCAACCCCATGCTCCAATCCAAGACCACAATTTTAGGCTCCGCGCATGCGCTCTGTGGAACACGCATAGCTAAAACAAACACTAAGGGTTCGCATTCACTCGTATATGCAATACTAAAACTCACTACTGTTTCACCGGCTTCCAACGCCAACGAAATGTACTGCAGTGAGCAGATGTGCAAGCAGGTAGACGTTCCTTCCATCTGGAAAGCCTGAGACTGGCAAAACGACGACGCGAAAAAAAAAAAGTAACTAAATGTTATAAAAAAAAAAGTTTTATATTTTTATGTTTTGTTTTTGGGGCATTTGGTCTGGGAAAATATTGACGGCAACTTTGAAAATTTCGCCAATTGTCAAAAGTCACTACATTAATAGAAAAATATGCTTTACCCATTTAATGTAATTTTACATGGATTTCTCATATTAGCTAGAATGTTTTCACTGATTTTAGACTATTTTTATTTTATACCTTTGTAATTAAAAATACTATGATTGGCACCAGTGATGATAATTAGCACACTTTTGGTTGTCAAACTTGTTCGCGCATTTGAAATTAGATCAAAAGCAACAAATTATATTAGAGCTTGAAAAGTTGCATATTAAAATATCTGAATTTTAATATTATTTATATTAATATGATCGTGGCAATGTATGCCCCCCCCCCCCCAATTAATGCCATGATCACAAAAATACGCCTTTTAACCATAATAGCCTTTACAAAATAAGTATCATTTTGATTTCTTTTTATCATATGAAAAACTCCGACATCGTTATCAAGATTGACAAATAGTCAAACACTGGATGCAATATGAGGTCCTATGCGTCACGTGTTGCTTCAAAAAACACATTTCAGCTGTCTGATTTGGATTCAGTCTTTGGGTTGTTGTAGTGAGAACAGAGTTTAATAATTTATACGTCATGTGGGCATACTTGAACAATTAGATTTATTCTGTTATTCTTGTGCTGGGAATAATGTTAAAGCAATTAAAGGAGCTGTGCAAAGATTTTAGCGTTGAAAGAATTGGCATCTTCTACTTTCGACAATGTTTATCTTGTCACCAAGGATAGAAAACACACCTCCTTCCTTCGAAATATTGCTGATCCGCTCCGTAATCGCGAGGCAAAAATTAAAATATTCCTTGACCTACAGCCGCGAGCGGCGGCCATGAGTACCACGCGGCATGATGTCAATGGGGGTCTTGTAGAAAGATAGCAAGTTGGGCGAATATCTGCTCAATAAAAGGAAACCTTCCTATAAATCTTGTCGTTCCAACATACTGTAAATACAAATGCGTCAAAAACCTGGTATCATCGACAAAACTTTCATTATACGGAGTTTTAGTGGCGCCATCTATCTGCTACTGTGAATAGCCACCAGAAGCCGGAGGGGGACGGGGGCAGACAGAGCCATATTATATGGCTCCAGGGGCAGAGCCGGACGGAGATGGCTGGACCCGGATGAGACTTTCCTCTTTACACCGTATTGTTAGTGCTGCGCCAGCACGTGGTCACGCGGTCGTGAGCGGATGAGTTCTCGCTGCTCACTGATGGCTCTAGAGAGAGAGCTTTACCGGAACTCCGCGCGACCCCCACCGACGTCACAGCGCACGTGACTCGGAAGATGGTGAAGGAGTTGAGAGGTGCCGAAAACCTCAATCTTTGCCCATTTTTAAAATAAAAACTAGGACATGCAGGCAAATGCGGTTTTTTGTTCTTTATTTCAGAAAGGTCGCGACACCAACTCCCAAATTATTTAAGCAAAGCACTGAAATTGTTGTGCAACTCCTTTAATCATCTAAATACCCAAAACCCATTCAGACGCCCGCAGTTACATGACAATTATCTGAGCGAGAAAAGGCCGTGAGAACGCACAAGTATCAGCACTGATTTTTTCAACAACTGCAATATTCTATGTTACCTCTAAGGTGTGTGAAGAGCCTTTTAAAGGGGCACTGAAATCTCTAAAATATTTTGAAGTGCTTGGATCAAACAATTATGTCACAAAATAAAGTTTCCGCAAACTACTTCTTTAACTAAATAATTACGAAGTGAGACACATCTTCAGTTATGAAAGAATCCGAAATTACGACTTATACCAAGAAATGAAATCCGAAATAGAGGTTAGTTTCAGTTTTGCTCCAGAATTAAAACGTGCATTCTTGCATAAATATTACGCTAAACACCATTCTTGTTTTCAGAATAAAGAGCTGACCTGCGCTCATACACCCTAGCTTATCCTATTACTAGAAATAATTTGTGTCACTCAGTGAAGCTAGCACACTAGACAGACTCAACAACGGCACACATCTCCAACCCTCATTATAACCGCCATTTTAGAAAACGAGTGGTGCCACCTATACTGAGTCAGAGTCGCAAATAAGTCACCGATAAGATGAGAATAGCAGGGAGGAGTTTCGATTGCCACGCCTGCAGCGTAAGCTTCCTACCTTCAATGGTGCTTCGGCGTTTGTGCATCTCAAGTTCATGTGTGCACGGCTGGAGCGTGGCGAAAGGCACAAAGTGCGTGCTAGAGGCCGGGCATTTGAAAGACGCATCCTGCCATTCTCATTCTAGAGAAAAGAAATTGGCGAAACTAGAGTGTACTAAATAAGAAAAAATTTTACAAACGTCCACAGTTTGCTAAGGCACTCAATGCATATGCACTACGTCAGGGTTGCTGGAAGCGTTCCGGAGAGGAGGGGAGACAGCTAGGTGGGAGAAAAATGCATGGGGGGTGACACCATCATAAAAAAAATGTCACGCAAAGATGCCTCTGCACTCAGCCCTATTAGCAATGATATTTTTAACGCTCACCTGGAACATTGGTTAACCTAATGTTCCCAGACGTAGTAGGAGTAAGCTTAACTGCTTTCGGTAAACTCTAGCTCTACCCATTCAAAGGCTACCCTAAAAGAAACGCTCAATTCATAGTTCTAGACAGCGAAAACGATTAAGACTCAGCAAGAACTTAGAGGAAGGAACAAGCCCCTCAGCTCACTAAATGTTTACCTTAATTATCCCATTATGCAGATTCTATCTACACCGAATAAAAAAAAAAAAGCTTTATTCCACACCCTCTAACTACAAAGGCTCGAACAGCGATCTTTGGCTATGAAAAACCCGCATACAGAAAAAAACAACCAGTAAGCAAAGTTCTTTAAAAAAAAGAAACTAATTGTCGCCAAAAGAATGCCATGCATAAGATGGCTAAGTACACGTTGCACTGGGGGAGATGCAGCTGAACAGGTGCTCACCTGTTCTCTTCTTCGAGTTCCTCAATCATGAGCTCAAGCTCGTCCCTCTGGTCAGCGTCTATAGTTGCCATCACCTGAGCGGGACTCCGCGGTTGCAGGAACAAAGAGGAGTTGCACTGCACGAGAAAGTCGGGTCGTGGGTTTTGTTAGATGAAACGCACGGCAAGAGTTTGGCATTTCAAAAGAAGTTTCTTCAGCCGCGATCTCCCGATGGATTACAACTTTTATTCAACAACTCACCATAGACACCGGAAGCTCCCCACTCAACGTCTGGCAGTACTGCGCTATCAACTGGTGTTCGTCTTCGCTCCTTGAAAGACAGAAAACGGAAATGTACAGTGAAACCCGTTTAGAACGAACCCATGTACAGCGAATTATTGTCGATATCGAACTCACGAAAAATTTAAATAAAATGCATGTAAAAAGTATATTTTATATCGAACAAAACATCGGCTATATCAAACTTTCCCCCCCCCCCCCCCCCCCCCCCCCCCCCCCGGGAAGGATTCCAAAAACGCGGCGAAAAATTGTCTTCTAGCCTGTCCCCTCCCCGAAACAAGAAGTAGGAAAGAAAGTAAATTCCGAAAGCTCAAGTTGCGAACAAAATTGGACGAAGAGAAGCGATTCAGAAAGGGAGAAAGCTAAAAAGAAAACAAAAAAAACCCACTTTGCACGCACGCGTAGAAAAAAAAATATTTTCATCCCAAAGCGTTTGCCCACGATGAGAAACAAATATCGTAAGAAGTGCAGACAAAAAAAAAAAAAACTCTGCACGCATGCCAAAAACAAAAATAGCACGTTGTTACAAGGCGGAAGTGAAGAGATGAGAAAGAAAGAGAAGCTTTAGGAACTCATTGTGGAAATTCGTAAATGTTTTTTGCTATATCGAACTACTTGCTATATCGAACTGATCATAGCGTTTCCTGCTGTTCGTTATAAACGGGTTTGACTGTAGCAAACTTGGCAAGTTTGTCGTTGTCCGCCAAACTCAAACACCCAAGTCATCGAAGTCATCTGATCATATCCCATCACACACTAGTATTTTCAGAGCCAGTCTTTAAGACCTGTGAGCAGAAAATAGAACAAATTGGTGATTGTGTTTAAGGTGCTATGGCCTTCAAAACAATACCTAGTTTGATGTAATCTTTTTTTAAAAAGAAATTGCAACACTACTCTCACCAAAAGGCTGAAAGTTAGAAACTTGGAATGCATTACCGCTAAACTCAAGGCAAGAAAGGATTGGGCTTCAAATGCTCTAGGAGTCTAGATGGCAGAGGGAAACACTGTACCATATCTGGAGTTGCGACAGTGACAAGAAAATTTTATATGGTGACTGGGACAACCGTTAGTGAATATCTTTTGCTTGCATTTTTCCTCGCGAGTCCCAAGCTGGGCCTTAGAAGACCGGGACAATAACAAATGCTCTTTCAGGGAAACCACTAAGACAGAGGATATGTACCTCTCTGAGCTCAAACTTTCCCATCTGACAAAATGGCACTTACGAATCTGGAGTGGAGTTGCTCCTTGTCCTAAGTTCAACATCTCCCAACCTGCTGAAATAGAGGAATGACATAGCAAGTTATACACTAGCAAGTTAATAGCAAACCATTCACACTAAAGCTTCCCTCAGGCTAGAATACAGTAGAACATCTCTCTAGTAGAGTCAGTTTTCTAAGGAAAAAAATCTTCAAAAGATCATCACTCTATTGGTACTACCTCAAATGCCTGTACCAGCAGTACAAATGTACTTCCTCTTTACCTAATTATATATTCATATCGCTGCTATTACAGTCAATCTTTGCTATAGTAAAATTACATTGTAATATCAAATGGCATCCGAGGGCAGAGATGGCAGCAAGGCCACCTTAGAGTCATTCAAAGTTGCCACAGAGATCATAAATTTTCCACTTGAGTTGAAAATCACCTTTTTTTGCTAAGGTGGTAGTAAGGCAACACAAAATGACATTTGTGTTGTCCATCCTCTTTGATACTTAGCAGTAACCCTGTAACAACTGTTGCACACTTAAAAAATTTTGTTCACTAACCATGTTACTGGTGTTACTGCTAAACCTAGTATCAGCCCGTTGTAACAAACCTCAAGCGAGACCTGCTGAAACTAGGGGTGTGCGAATACCGAATAGCACTTTTCGAATCGAATACCGAATCGAATCAAGAAAAAAAAGCCGAATATCGAATCGAATATCGAATAGTGATTTTATTTGTAGGAATTCTTCAAAGTGTGCTGCGAATGAGTTTATTATATGTGTAGAGTATGCACCTGTTGCAGAATATGCATCTTGTGCAGAACAAAAGCTGAAATGTAAAAAAATTCTGGTAAAAAAAAAAATAAATAAAAGCAGTCTGTTGGATGTTGGGCACTAAAGATCCCATTTTATGGCACAAATATAATCTATCTTCCCTAAACGTCACAAAAAACCCAAAGTTACAGCCACGCATGCCTTTTTTAAGCCCAACCTAACACCGCGACTTTTTTTTATAAATGTTTGCATATCTCAGAAAAGGGGCATTTTGCGATATTTGGTTTTCATTTTAAGGAAGAAAAAGGGCACCCGGGGTTTTATTTCACGTAAATAAACAGATAGGTGTTAAATATTAGTAAACAGGCTTAAACAATATAATCTGAAGTAAGAAAAAAAAAAGCGTGGTTAGGTGGCGCAAGACACCGTCCAACTGCCGCTACGCATCCATATTTCCGTCTATCTATCCTGTTTTAGAGAGCCTTGATTTAAAAGAGGGAGCAAGCGAAACTGAAACCACGGAGACGGCTCCAGTGCAGATTGGTCGTAAGTGCACATGTGTTGTGTTGTCGCGAGGAAAAAGGCGAGCAACAGAAGGGCGACGACGCCTACTCTCCCTGCCCTGCCTGCCTGCCCGATCCCGATCGACGCTTTCGTTTTTTCGTCACCTTCTCGCAGTTCGTAATTCAAACGCGGCTATCGAACGGTTGGAAACCCTCTCAAATCTAGGCACACTATTTTCCCGTTCCGTTTCGTTCCTAATCAGAATTTGCGGCTTGAGGTTCCAAAAGAATGACGACGATAACTCGGCTGGTTTTATCGGCGTGTTTAACGTGGTTTTCTTTCTGTGATCGTGCAGTCGCCGATTTCTGTGATTGCGCCAAGTGTGCTCTACATCGGTGCTTCAACTTGAAACGAGGGGCTTTACTCGTGAAAAGAATTAGGCATGGCGCGGGATTTCGGCCTCCCAACAATTCCTCTCTGGAAGCGGCGCAAACGGGATGTTTCGGTTGTGATTCAAGGGTAGGTTGTATCACGATCATGAGTAAATCTGCGTACTATAAAGTTCGTGGCGTTCGTTACTTTTCTTTTTACTAACCTGTGCGTTAGATTTTTGTGGAATGGTAGGACCAAGAGCAGTTTTTCGCATGGTTTGTCTAACATCACGGCGCTTACATCGGGGGGGAAAAGCGTTTTTTTTTTGTCAGCTCCGCGGCGACCGCGCGTCTTTGGCCGAATATATTGAATATTCGAGTGACCGAATACTAGGAATTCGATTCGCGAATCGAATTATTCGGGAACTTTCTATTCGATTCGAATTCGTATATTCGAGTATTCGCACACCCCTAGCTGAAACATCTGAATTTGCTGGAATGCAATGGTACATAAAGAGAACACTACCAATGCACTGAGGTCCCTCCTTTGTAAGTCGACTCTCGTTAATTCAAAATCTCTTAATTCAAACTAACGTGCAGGTCCCATCCTATGCGTCTCTATGGGAAGAAACTCCTGATAATTCAAACTTTGCTTCATTCAAACAAATTCTCGGCCCCCCTCGAGTTTGAATTAATGAGAGTCGACTGCAATATAAAATCTAAAAAGTAAAAATAAAGCATAACCTTTTGCACAATCAGACCTCAAATTATGTCCTTCGTCCCACTAAAACAATTAAAAAAAAATTAATCATGCAAGAAGATTTATGAAAGGCGTAGGCTTTTTTTACTTTGGACCAACCAGTTACTCTTACTTTATTAAAAGCAAGAATGGCTAAGGAATAAACACAGCGGTTAAACTTCAAAATGGAGAAGCATTGCACCGGCATTTGCTAGTGTAACCACTGCAATCGATGTGCATTCCAGCCCTTAGGTTAGCAGTTGTATCGCACTGCTTAAATTGCTCCTCTACAGTGCTCAACCAATGTGAGCATTTCTTGAAGGCAGACTGCCCTTCAATTGTATACACATTCACAATGCACAATTTTTACACTTCAGTGAAAAGAGCGAACCTGTTTGCATATTGTTCGAGGCGAGAGTGCATGTCCCTAGAGGACAGAGTATGCTGGGGTGATGGCGCAGGACTCTCCAGGTCGTCGCCTTCGAGGACGGTTTGCACCGGGAGGTAACCCATTCGTGGGTGCTTCTTAAAGTACCGCTTGGACTTGAACTTGTTCTTCATGATCTTCGTGAAATCTCGCACGTCCTCGCCAGATGTCGTCTTGGGAAAAGAAAACAAAAAACAAGTCGTTTTGCGTGGTTTAAGACTAACATCTCCAAGAATAGTAGCTGTGTACGGCTGCCACGTACTGTATATGACAGCTTTGTCTGCCAAAGTAACATCCCTTTTTTACGTACACCTCGCCGGGATTGGTCAGAGAATTATGTGCATTGCCAAGTAAACAGTTCGAGTTACCTTTGTTTCCGTGACTATTGACTGTGCCTAAGACTGTGGACATGATTCAGGTGTCACCTGCCCTTACTACCTCCCAACAGTACTCTGGGTGACATCTGCTCTTACTATTTCTTGAGATTGCTTTTCGACGTGCAAGGTTCCCAGTGGACTTTACACTCAAACTCACTTTCTGCCCAAGTTCAATAATCTATGCCTAAAATCACCCTGCCCCGTCTTGTTGCAAACTTTAAAAGCATGCTCAAATGAACAGGCAGACGAAGCTAAAAAAAAATAGCCGCTAGGAACAATAAGTTATCCAGCTGCTATGGTGATATCCAAGAACAAAACAGTGATCACCAATGCTGTTTTTGGAGTAATGCATCTAGTACCTTCTGCTAGAGTCGTTACACTGGCAGCTAGGGCTGCCAAATGTATTGATTCAAACTGTGGTCATCCTACTTACAGTGGTACAGTATTCCTGCATTGGATGAGTAACTTTGTGGCTCTTCGTTTTTCTCCCAGAAAAGAAGCAGCTCTGGCAGAGGTCAACATTGAAACACTTGAGACACCGGTATCTGGGAAAAAAGGTAAAACAGGCAGGTTTTAAGTCACTCACATTTAAACTGAGTACCTCAAGCCATCTAAACTCTTCGAACTACCGAAATGTGACAGATCCTTCAAAGAGTCAAAAAGAAAATATTCCAAAACTCAATGCGTTTGCATATAGTAATGCCTTTACTCTTCATAAAAGCACAAACTCCCCAATTAATAATTGTAAAAACAATATGGCAATGAATCCATGCAGCATTTGCGTGTCACTAAGCTTTAAAGCTCATTAAGACAGTGTTTTCTTTGGAAGCTCCTTATGATGGTGTCTGTAATACTCAAAGCTTGGACAAATTAAAAGCTTTGTTAACAAAGCCTCAAACAAAAATAAGTTCCGCTTCATAAATTTTTGATTGAAATGGCATTCTGGAATTGAAATTGAAACAAATTTTTATTGCTAAATTTCATGTAAAAAAATTGAAAGACATTCCAGTAACGCCGAATCGGAGTGCAGCTCTTGAGGAGAAGGAGGGAAGGGTACTGAGAGGAGGGTATACCCCTCCTTTCTCCTCCTCCCCTCCCTTTTCCTCCTCCTCCTCCTTGCGCAGTGCATTATGGGACATTTCCCATAATGCATCGCGCAATTACGCCGACGGCGACACCGCTCAAGCCGAAAACGGGCGCTTAAGAGCTGCGCTCTAAACGTCAGAATGGACGTTTAGCGTTTATACAGCGTAAGGTCGGTCTGCCAGGATGGGGCGACACTGTTTACACTCTAGATGGGCAATTTTGCCAGTGCAGTACGACTGCTAACCTGGGGTCTTTAACGTGCTCACGCAGTAGTGATACACAACCGCACGCCGGTACGATGCTCATTCAGATCAGAACGGGCAGGGGTGGGGCTCGAACCCAGCATCTCTGGGTTCTGCAGCGCGAGCTTTTGCCCCACGCGCGTCGAGCTGGGTGTGCACTTTAGCCCACTCAGCCACCGATCCCCCCTAAATTTCATGCCTATGCAGTTTCATCAAAAAAGAAGTGTCATAAGTAATGCTCTCTTGATCATAAACAAACGATTACTGAGATATCTAGTGAAAAAGTATTAAGGCTCTCCAACCCCCTTGCAAATTGTGGTATACGGTTAGAACATCTGACATGCATCTAAATGCACACCAATATTAATTTTGATTGCACAACATGTCACCAATACAGTCAGTCTTCTTGTGGTCTTGTTATGTATGCTAGCTTATGGCAGGTGGAAATAGGCAAGGTAGAATGAAATGACAATAATTTTCTTGCATTTCCTGCTTCCGTTAGATCAAACATCGTAATGACCCACAACATTTTACCATATTTAAATGATTGTAAATACGGTAGAAGTTTCTCCTTGATTACCTATCAATACCTTTGTGGCAAATTATATTGGTCTAGCACACAACACAGCTTTTTTACAATTTATTTCAAATTAATTATATCTGTATGTCCAATGTCACAGTCCACTTAGAACTATTTTAGCCAAGCGTTACAGGATGCAACGTATGCCACAAATAAAGGCTTTCTGCACAAAGTACAAAGCAGGAAAATCGGCAGATACAAAAAATGGCCAGGTTTTTTTTGCAGTTTTCATGCCACACATAAAAAACTCAGTCATCAAAACTACTAGTGTGGTAGGATGCTGTTCATTGATTTTGCCTTTTAGCTGTGTAAACGAGTAACAGGGTCTTTCCAGGCAGAGCAAATCTGCGTTTTGCCTTGCTATTTTTTTTTATTTTTTAATTTAAATTTAAAAAAAAAGAATGTACACGTTTAGGGCAATGTCATGTGCCAACGTCATCTTCAAGTTTTCTATGCCACGTAGTGAACCACAGTAAGCTCTCAAGCTGCATTGTTGCAAGGCATTAGGCGTAAAAATTAGGCATGTCTGAATAGCGGATCTTGAGTTTGGAGCGAATTTGGAGCGAATAATGCTTTTGGCTGAATATTTGCCAATCAAATATTGAATAGTTTCTCCAAGCTTTTCACTACGGTTGCACCATGCTTAAAGGGCAACTCCACTCAAAAAGTCAACCCTATCGAAATCACTGATATCGCTTTAGGAGGTTAAAATACGGTCATACCCAAAATATCACGTCAAACCGACACCGCGTTACCGATTAAAACCAATATAAAAAATGTTCTCTCGGCTCCGTTAGCGGCCCGAAAGCGGGTGAGCAACGCTGGCACCGGGTGAGCTAGTGAAGCAACACTGGGCAATGACGTAGGTCTAGTCCTACGCTCTCGTACGGACGCCGCGAACGCTTCGTTTCCCGTGGCATTCTGCGATTCTGCTGATGGCACGAGGTGTTTACCACATTATCCTGTGTTCTCCTATTTTTATTAGCGTCCAGGCAGTTCCTTTAATTCCAGCATTGCTTCCGCGACAGCGCGGAAGAGAGCAAAGCGGTGCTGCTCGCTCACGCGCGAGTCGCGGAGCCGGAGAGATTCGCCGGTCTCGCGTTGGGCAACGTCGAGCAGGATTTGTAGTGCGGTGGGTTGCACCAACAACCCGGTACGCAACCCGGAGCTGCGGTTCCACCAGTTCCTAAGAGACCGGAAGAGGCACAAGGTGTGGGTCGGTGCCGTTCGCCGGATAGACTTCGGAAGACCGTTGACTCCGAGCTCCAACGCGAAGCTCTGCTCCCAGCACTTTACGTCAGACACCTACACACGGGATCTGCGGCTGCTGACTGTTGCGGGTTTCACCAAGAAACAGGCGTCTTTGAAGAACGATGCGGTGCCATCGCTGTTCGCGTACCGTCCGCCGGCTGCTCCACCACGATCGGCTGGACGCAGCAGGTCGCGGCTGATCTAACTAGCGTGCACATAAAGGCACCTTGGCTTTAACAACTTAGACCACTTGTGGACAGATCTGTCCATCTATCTCCCATTATTTCGTTTTCTCGGTCCACGCGCAAGAAACAAATACAGTCACGCCGCGCCGGCACCGACCGCGTCATATTTATAGCAGTCGGATTCGCTTTTTGGCCGGCAAATTTATAAATACACACTAAAAATGACTAAATTTGGTGCATATTAACAAAGTGAAGCGGTAAAAAAAGAAAATGTGCATCTAACCGTCTGTTTTGAAACTCCACGTGCGACTGAGCCGACCTTCTCGGCGCGTCGGCTCAGAAGCGCGGGACTAGAACTAGGTCATGCCGACGACGCGCCACTAGTATCAGTGTTGCCAAGCTGCTTCAGCCGGTAGTTTCGGTTTCGCTGTGCCGCCAGACCGATTCTTGCATTCGCGATATCTACAAAACTATACACACTACCGAAAAACAAATTATATCTCGTCATTCAGGGTCGCCGGCTTCGACTAAACAGATCGTAACCCAAAAATTGTAAAAATAGAGTGGAGTTGCCCTTTAAACAAAAACCCAGTTGAACTTGTGAAGGTTGTCCCCAAGCTTCCATTTTGTAAGCTAAGTTTATTTTAATAAAACTATATTTATGGACTGTGGCCTCAGAAAGTCTGATGCCTAAGGATGGCAACTGAATGATGGATTAGACATAAAATTAAGACTTTTAGAGATGCCTAGCTGTAGTTAATTGAGTGGATTAATATATCTTGAGACATGCAAATATTCTCTTTTTATTGCCGAATTTGAAAAAGAAAAAGAATCACAAATAATGAATGCAGGTTGTCAGGGCATCTCTGCCTAACATAATCTCTTAGATAACAGTCAGTTTAATTTTCAGAATTTTACTGCAACATAGATATTATCATTCACAATATTTTCGTTTTTTTTAAATACACCGGGTGTGCACGTGCACCATCCTGCTTTGAAAGTGTGCTTTTTTCCCAAGCATGCGATTGCGATATATATTCCATTCCAAATGTTGATCGCGGCGGGTAACCCCGTTGAGTGCGTTTCTTACTGAGCACCAGCACTCTGCAAAGAAGCAATATCCACGAAGCCAATTTTCGCGGGTGTTGCTTCCACGCAGTGCGCCCATGCTAGGTAAGAATTGCGCTCAACAGGGCTAGTCCGCCGCAATCAACACGTCGAAATATATTAATATCGCTGTTAATCTCGATGCGAATATCGAATGGAGTATATATTCGAAAGGACAATTTGAAAATTCAAATACTTGCAGAACACTTGTAACAATACATTATCATTAGAAAGACTGTGGCCTGCTGCAGGCCTAAGATAGCAGGGCAAGCCAATCCCACAAAGCTCCCTGCTTGCCATGATTGGTAGTTTCCTGCTCTCCATTCGCCCAGCAGCAAGACTAAAGGACTTTGCGGGAGTGGGAGGTTTTTCCTTATATGTGCAACAGAACATAACAGTGGTGTGAAACCAAGCCACGCGTAGTCATACCTGAAGCCGACGATGGGGTACTGCTTGCAGCCGTTGCACTTGGCCTGGTGCCTGGCCGTCTCGGCAGCCGCCAGGCGGTGCAGCACGGGCAGCCAGACCAGGCTCTGGGGCTCCTGCAGGAGCCAGTTGAGGAAGTGGGCCGCCTGGATCTCCCTGCGGCCGGCAGGCGCCGCCTTCTCGAAGCAGCTGCGCACGCTCGGCTCGATGTTGGAGCCCCCAAACGCCGCAATCTCCCCGAGCAATCGCGGAAGCTGCACACAGTCGTGAAGCAGCAGACCCAGCTGCCGCTCGTCCGCGCAGCCGTTGGCGTCAGCGATCAGGCGGAAAAGGTCTGGGAGACAATAACGAGAAAGATCGAATTTATTGTATGAAATCGATACTCGCAACGCGGTATAGTGAGCACACCACGAACCAGACCAACTGACGACAGCGAATACTGTATTGCTGGTCGCAACCAGCCATTATTGTGTATTCATAAATATATTGTAAGGTTTTCTTGTTGCGTGCATTTCAATCTCTAAACGTTGCTGTGCAACAACTAGGAATATTGCCGCATATTTCCATTGGACACTCTTGGGAACGTTTGGGCGAGTCTGACAGCAGTGCAACCTGACAGTTTGCTACCATTTAAGCAAACCTCCAGACAGAAAAGCTGCACTTGGTAAAAGTTGTTCGGTTTCAACGAAGTGCTTGTGGTCACTATCGAGAGGTGGCATCATAAGCACGACTCTCAAACAGTTCGGTCTTCTGTATCAGACTCGTCATTGAAAACGTTACTGTTAATGTTGAAGTGCATTAATTTCTTACAGGAATAAAGTCAGGGCTTCATTTTGCAAGGTAAAATCCATCACTAAGATACCGCTTTAAGAAAAGTTGAGCTCGTTATTTTTTTTTTTTTTTTTTATTTATACTACCGGCCGTTGTGGGGCGGCCAAGGTAGGAGGGGTACATGGATCAAGTTTTACGAAAAAAGCAAGCACAATGTGGCAGCGCAGCAAAAAAAAAAAAAAACATTACATATATGATCACGAACACACAAAGAGCAGAAAAATATTCGTCTGAGGGGTATCAAGGCCTGAAACCTCAAAACTCTGGTAATTCGTTTATCAATGCTAGAAACAACGTTAGACAATTTGAAGAGACAATTTGTTCGGGTAACGCATTCCAGGCATGGATAGTACAAGGAAAATAAGAGCATTTGTAACAGTCGGTCCTGCACTTTATTTCAGTGATTGATTTACTGTGTTTATTTCTTGTGAACCTAGATGTGTTGAAGTGAAAGTAATCTAGCTAATTTAAGTTGTAGTTCCCATTTATTAGATTAAAAATAAATTTCAGTCGATTGATCTTTCTACGTTTTTCTACAAAAATCGGTGCCTGCGTTACACGCAGGCACCAATTTTTACGGCTCATTTGAGAGGAATTCATAACGACCTACGTACATTTCACTTATGGCCACATATGCTTGCTGAGTCAAAGCACCACTGTTCTGATAGTTTGAGAATAGCTAGCATAGTGGGTTTGTTCAAACTACCCATACCTCCTACACCAGTCTACACTGGACGTACATAGTGCAACCCTGTCAGTGCAAACAGGTGATTGCCGGTTTTTATGCGTATCTCTTACAGTAGAACGGCTGTCATTGAAACTACTTACTACTTGTGTGGTACTAGAAAGTGTTAATTTGGGACACTTTCAGAAGGATAAAAGTTTGGCGACTGCCAATATTTTCTTGAAGTAAAAGGCAATAAAGTTCTAATGTCGCGTTTATGAAAACAGTGTCCCACAATGTGCACCACCAGATATGATTTATGAGCTCATCCCTAGTTCGTACAGATAGCAAAAGATTACAGTCCTCCACTTCTCTGCTCTGTACAGCACTCCCTTCTGCACTAGTATAACCTGGAGCAGGTAAATCATACGAGATAATTAGTTTCAGTTTGTAAACACGGCACATTCATTGTACATCTTCATATATAGAGTGCAAAGTGTGCATTTAAAAATGATGCCTTACACCTGTGGACTAGAAACAAAAATTCGGCTAGTACAAACACACATCTAGAAAGATGCAGTCATACCAGCCAATCACTAAAGCAGTGGTTTTTAAATTAGGTTCTGTGAAGCCTACATCTCAAACCTCAATCCCCCCCTTCCCCTTATTTTATTAAAAAAAAAAAGCATTTTTGTTGACCCTGACCAGATGGTGGAAGCTACCGCCCATTATAAAGGGTACAGCCGTTGCCATCTATCCATTCATTAATCCTTTTACTTGATGCTTCTCACTTCTCCAGTACACAGCAGTAAAGGAAGCCCTTTTCAAACTTCAATTATAACACACAAAAAATTAGTCATGGAAGATCCTTGAATGGGGTCTCCCATCACTTCGGTGGGTCCCCAAGGGGTTTCCGACACATCCATGCTTGAGAAGCACAGCACTAAAGCATAGCAAAGAAGCATAGAAAACCCCAGAGGAATACTTGATAGGAAAGAAACATATACGCACATCGGAACTTATCTTCCAGATTTCCCTTGCAGAGGAGTATAATTCCCACTTTGAAGGACAGGATGCGTATGTATCCTGTTCGAGTAGCTCTGGAAAACAAAACAAAAGACTGTCAATATCTTGAGGCAAAAGTCAAATTGTAACAAGCATCAATCCTAAGCATGTTTAGCTTCAAAATTAGTAGTAGCCCACTGCTTATCATATTCAACTGATAAACTTGTTTCTTCAGATAAATATTTAAAGTAATTGTTTTGGCTTGTTATCCTTTTGTACTTCACTTATTTACAAAGAAGCTAATAGGACTGCTGTTCCAGCAAACATTGGAATCACTATTTCAATATCCAGTTATCCATCTACTATACTAGAATCAGTAAATATGCCCTCTCTTAAAAACGCTCGAGCGCAACATGATGATTAACAAACCAATCACAGAATTTGGTAATTATTTTATTTTATTTCACTATCTGATTTATAGAAAGTTTGTAGCAGCTAAATTTCGTGAACACATGGAGCAATACTACCGTATAAATGTGTGTAAGGGCCAGAGTTGGGCAGTATTGCGATACAAATGTATCGCGATAGTATTTCAGAAATACATTTCGTATCTATATTTCTGTATCGCGATACATTTTTTTCACCAGTATCTGTATTCCTGTATCGAAATCCATTTGGAATGTTTCTTTGTATCGCGATACAATCAGGGTGAAATGTATTTCGATACATTTCTTGAGAAATACTCCTCCTCCCTCCCCCCATCCCCCAAAAAAAAACATCCAAACGCATCTATTTTTTATTCTTTATTTTTTTTTTTTTTTTACCTCCGAGGTGCTAGGGTTAAGGAGATGCTGGGGCATTGGTACCATGCCGACCGAGGTTCCCTCCTATTCTCCGAACTATTTTTCTATGCGTCCTCTTCTCTCTTCTGAGAAGTGTTGCGTAGTAGTCGGGGACTCGAATCAGCTGGCGTGTCAGGAGTGGAGTGAGAGCATCTTCTGCCGCAGGTCCTTAGGTAGGGATTTCTTGAGTCATTGTTTGCTGGCGTCCAATGCCCGCGTCTAACCGCCTCTTTTGCCTAAGCGTACACAGTACACCCAGCCGGCAAAGCTGAGTCACAGTCCGTTGCAGCGCGAGCCTGGCGGTGGTTGACTTGAAATAGATAGGATGACTCACGCAGTGAAGTTCAACACATATTCGAAGGCGTCTGCGGCTGCGCCCATCATACTGCACGGCTCAAGCGTACGTCATCAGCCGATGTGAACGTGACCCGCTGCTTTAATGATCCGAAACCCAGAAAGGAGGCCAAACGTGGCCTCGCTGTGCCGACCCAGACTTCGTACACCTGCGACTCGTCTCGAGCGCACTGTTTCTCAAAGGGCTCGCACCTGTACCGGCAATATCAGGTCGCAATCCGCTAGGCCTCTGTTTGGATGATGCTAGGCGAAACTTCAGGACTGCAATCCATGCGTCGGTGGCGGAGGGTCTGCAGGAAGGACCTTCACAACAGGGATGCCACCGTATCGTTTTTTCAGCCGTAACAGAAGTCATGTGTTCCAGAATGTTTCAGGTGGTTCACTAATCTCGAAAATTCCAAATGCGCCTGTATGATCTTCAACGAGGTAACCTACAATGAAAGTGCGTATTGTCCTTTCATACAGCATTGTGGTAAAGTTTCATGGTCAAGGCCACACTACAGATCAAGTATACCAGTTCATTCCACCGTGACATCATTTGGTTAATTCTGACGAGGGCGCCCTTATTGGACAGGGGCGTTGTGATGTTTTGATGGGATTTAGGATGACATGTAATTTATTTAGAGATCAAAGTCTTTTCGCATCCTTCGTCAGACAGACAGGATGTCAGAACAGGGACCGCGGACAGTCCTTGTTGGAACTTTTTTTTTTTAAGCCCATTGAAGACTCCTCGTCGTCTGAAACCACTACCTTCAAGGCAAAGTGCCAAGCCTACGGGAAAGTAATTTCGGGATCAAAAACTTCCACTTCCAACTTCAAACTTCATCTCAATTGGCGTCTCAAAGAAATTCGAAAAATGTATTGCAGTATCATTATTTCTGTATCTGTATTTCTGCCCTCCCTAAAATGTATTCCTGAATTTGTATTTCCAAATACTTTTTGCCTCTATTTAAAATGTATTTCCGATACGTATCGTGATACACTTTTACAGATATATTTCAGTATCATTATTTTAGCTACTATTTTAATGTATCCCAGTATTTGTATTTCCAAATACATTTTTGAGTGTTTCTGCCCAACCCTGGTAAGGGCCAATTTTTTTTTTGTTCAAATTTTCAGGCTCATTTTTTACGCACGGCCCTGCCCATACACAAATAAAAACAAGATATTAGTTTTGGATGTCCATAAAAAAATGGACAAATACTTGCGATCGAAGCAGTGGTCTCGAGCGCCTTTATTTCGGCCTCAATGGCTGCAACCTGCGGTATCCTTGGCGCTCGAGTCTGGTCAGCATCAGCAGCGGACAGAGTTTCTCTTTTGGGCCGTCCAATAAGTGCCTTTTCCTAGTTCGCATTAGCCATTTATTTTGTAAAATTTTACCTCAACGTCCATTTCAAAGCCGACGTCAAGCGGCTGCAGCATACCAGTGAGCCTGCCTTGGACTACGCACTCTGTCCAGCACCGTATGCAAATTTCGTCGACACCGTTTTCCCAACTCGTTGCACGTCTACCGCAGTTAAGTAAGTGACAGTTCGAAAGCACTTGTTCACTGCTCTCAGGTTAGCAGAACGAAACATTCACAAAGCCTAACGGCAACGTTTGAAAACCCGAGTGTCCGATTTTCCATCAGCTACGGTGACATGGGCAGAAGGCGACCATGGATGATAAGACCATAAAAAGGATAAATCGCCGAAGCCTTCATTCCATAATCTTTCTTATCTGCACTTCAAAACACTGCAAAAAGAGCAAGAAGAGGCGCGTACACGGAGGAGTAAAGATGGCGGAATGGAGACGCGGAGCGTGCGTCACACTGCGGAAGCAGTCGGCGCGCCTCGTGAAAAAAGGGGTGCAGGAAATACACAAAAAAATGTAAATATCTTTTTTATATCTTGACCTAAATACTATTAAAGAGTGTGGTCTATACACGCAATTATATGGTAGGTCTCCATGTATTGAAGCGCTCCACTGGCCGCTCTTTTCCCAATTGAAAACCTCAGAAAATTCTTTGAACCTTGAATCCGATTGAATCATATAAGCTCTAGAATGTTCTCATCTCACCAGAATCCTAGCTTGCTGTAACGCGTACATGCCTGCAGGTTCCCTCGCGAGTTGAGCGAAAGGGTTGCTCACGTGTCGTAGAGGTTGAGCAGCCAGTTGAGGCACAGGTCGATGCAGAGAGGAGCCTTGACGAGGTTGGGGTGCTCCTGAGCAATGCCCTCATAGATGGTGGACAGGCAGGTGATCATCTCTGGGACGCTGATCAACTTGTCGTTCTGGGCCCGCAGGCCGTGCTGGTCAAACGCGTTGATGGCGTTGTTCATAAAGACCAGGTCCACTGAAAATGTTCAGAGTGCCGCTCGCAACCTCGCAACAAAATGTACGGCACGAAGTAACAGTTGCTGGATTTAGTCAAGTGAGGATAAGGAAATAGGGAAGCAATGTCAGGATATCGAAAACGAGCATTTGAGGAACCGATATGCAGAAGGCACTGATGTAGCGACGATTGTTTTTTTGACAAAAGTGGCTTTTATATGAAAAGGTTAGGCTATATTTTTCAATTTTCAGCACAGACGGTCAACTATAGACACGCCATGACACAACGAAATGCGAGAGAGGGAGTCATATTAAGCCAAAACGCGTGTACCCCACAAAAATGTACTGCCAAACAAAATATTAAGTGCAACTTGCAATTTGCCTTAAGCACATTTATTCATTTCAAATACGAGACACTTCCCAAAGAAGAAATCCACGCAGACATAGGGTAATGTGAGGCAGTGAAATTCTAACTTTGGAGAGGGCGAATGTTCAAGAAGCACTTTAGAACTTACGGCAGAGGTTCTTCTGAATTGTCCTGATTTTCATCGACGTCCTGTACGCAGAGTATCGAACATCGTTGAATTCGACTAAGGGGAAACCACACAGTTGCAGGTTAAGTTTTTTTTCAAAGAACAGGGCGTTGTTAACAGAAGTACTATGTATTTGAAGAAAAGTTATAGTGAAAGCAAAATAATATATCACCAGCTTCGTGAAACCACCAGTCTTGGGCTTTTTGCCAGAATATGTAATGCTCAACTCCTTCCCAAATACATTTACTGTCATGCCTGGGAACACCAAGAAGCACTATAGGCATTATATATACTGCTCCTTGGTATCATTGAAATCTCAATTATAAAGCTCAGTCATTTATTTTCCAAATTGTGAGCATTCAATGAAAAATGATGCGCTATACATCGTTTCTGCTTAGTCCGGATGCAGGAGACGCTACAAGCTAATGGGTCCAATTGAGCATCAACAAAAGTGCAAGTTACTGGGCCTTTAATGTTTATGATTGGGTTAGCTATGATAGAACCCATACAAAAACACGAAGAATACCATGAAGTTGCACTTTTGACTTCCGATTTGCCCCATAAGCTCGTATTGTTGGATGCGTCTGGACTTAAGGTGAAACAAAGTTTATAACTTTTTATCCAATACAAACCTATTAGCAATTTTTTTTATTTTCTATGCAATAAAGCTTGAAGGAATTGAATACAACTTCCTTTGAAAGTCGTGGTTTAAAGATTTTCATACAGAAACATTGGAAATCATTGGCTGATATATCTCCTCAATTTAGAGCAATACAATTTACTACTTTGGTAACATGGTAACTCAAAGAAAAACAAAGTCATAACTATGAAATAGAAACTAGAATGAAAAGAATATTGCTTAAGGACTCACCCAGAGAGTCCATCATTTCCATCATCCTCGGATGATCCCAGTGAGTGGTCTCCGAAATATGGCTGAGGAGAAAAAAACAGCCTTCAATGATGACCCTGTATCAACACAGATCAAAAGGAAAGACCGTAGTCCACTTACTTGATGTAGTAAGGCACTTTGTTCCCTGCTACAGCTCTCTCCCATGGTTGCTCAACAGAGGCTGAAAACAACAAAAAAGGCAACACCACATACTGTTTAGTGCAATGCATTGGTACTAGTGCCATAGAAACATCTGCGACAGATGACATTTTGCTAAGAAATATAGCTTCCTCAGGGCTAAAAGATTCAAAGCTTTGAGAAGGCCCACAATCTTCACAAAAGACTGGCTGTTGCTCCGAGGCCTTCATGAAGTTGTTACCCTAAAGAGTGATTACTTTTCGTGACCTGTTTGGACTGCCCTAAAAAAGCTAGGTCTCCATGGCTAAGAGAGAAGAAAGGAAAAGTGGCGTTATTAAATAGTTGCTACTCCAGCGGTGTGGATGTATAATTATTCATGTGTTTATATTCTTTTATGTCCAGCTGGTAATGTCAAAAGCTAGGTGTCGTGGCAAAGTGTCATCCGCTATCTCCGAGGCTTCCACAAGCTTCTTTATCAAGTTACTCCTACCACCTTTGACTGCATTCATATGTTTAGAGCCTTAATAGAAAACTCCACAACTTGAGGACACTGGAAAGGCCAAGTAGCACAGGGGTTTTCAAACTTTTCAATCGCGAGAAACTCTAACCTGCTTTGACTGGTCATGGAGGAGCCCCTCTCGGTCACGCCATTAATGCAATAAGGCAGTTCAAGAGCCAACAGAGCTTGCGAAAAAGAATGAACATGCTAGGAACTGCTCGGCTGAGAACTATATGCATCGACGAGTAACTTGGATCCGCTAAAATGGTATTTAAACTGGGAAAACATTTTACTTAGGCTAGGGGCGGTCGAGAAAACTTGGCAAATCAGGAAACCTAGTAGGGTACTCGGGGAACCTCATGTTTTTATTTGGAGAGCAAGTCGTCTGCTTCTTTGCAGGGGTTGCGGTGAACTCAGAACAACACCGAATTTTGACTGGCTTTGATTGAAAGGATAGTGGGAAGACCACAATGCTAGATGCCTTGAGGTCTACCCACTATTTTTTTTTTTTTTTTCAATCAGCCAATAAGAGCTCGGCATACTGGCATCATCACAACCCCTGCTCAAGAAGCAGACAAACTTGTGCTCTGCATAGGAACTTAGTTTGAGACTCCACGTCTCAGCAAAATGCCGTCATTCACTCCGAGACTTCCAGGAGGTGAACCAGCTCTCTTATCAAGTGGAAGAAACCACAGGAAGAGGAAACAGAATCAGGGAACAGAAAGAGGGGCCGACCATTGAGAAACTGCTGCTGAGCCGATCCCTGGTCGAGCAAGGCATGCTCCAGCTGCCGGCGCCGCTCGTCAATGGCCAGCTGCAGGAGGCGCCAGCGACCATTCAGCTCCTCCAGCCGGTTAAGGTTGTTGTGCGACAGCAGCACCCCGCAACTGGTGATGGCCCCGGCCGCCTCATTCAACGACTCCACCTGGAGCTGCAGCGGGGCCAGGCGATCCCGGAAGGCCTGGGGAGTTGGCGTTGGCGTTACATTCGGTTAGATAATCTTTAAAGCACGGTCGACTCTCGATAATTCAATCACTTTGTTTGAATATTTGGTTAGTTCGAAGCGTGGGTGCAGCTCTGGTAATCGTGCGTATATATAAAAAATATATATATATATATTCGCAGCTAGTAATTAGAAAATTGAGCAGTCCTGTGGAAGCAATGAACAAAGTGGCCGCACAAAATGCGTGGCCAAAAAAGCTGGGCTCGAAAAATTGCCCAGTACTCAGGGACTTTTCGTCCGTCGAATATATCAGTGTCAACGAACATACCATAATACGTGGTACATTTTCAGACAGTGAAATGTGGAAGTGGCTAGGCCTAGGGACCTTCCAGAACATGCTGTCAAATGTGCATTTTAAGTGCAAATGGCAGAAAATGATTAAAGTTAAATTACTTTGAGCAATAAAAATGAGCTAGACGGGGCTTATTTTTATCTTTTTTTAAAACTAAATTTTAGAATAATTCAACAGAATTCCATGGTCTCCGGGAGGTGAAATGAAAGTTTATATACTGTAGTAGAAAAGTGTGTCTTTCATCCCATACACTGCAAACTTTTACAGTTATTTTTGTAGAACAGGACACCTATAGCTACCTCAACTGATGGCATCAACAATAAACAAGGCATAAAATATGATTCAACAGTTTTTAGTGTGCACATAATTGATATGAAAAAATAGGATTCAAGCCACCAGTCAAGGTCACAAAACCTGCTATTATACAAACATTCTGTGAACATTACTTTGCTTTTGTAAATTTAGTGTTTTTTGTATAAATAAAAAGCTTTTTTGTGTAAGTGAAGTAAGGGGACAGCCTTGGATATCCATATATTTTCACTTACACCTGTGTAGAACCATTTAATTGGCACAGTTAAGACAAGATGTCTCTTAATTCATGAGCTGACGTGCCTATGTTTGTGCACAAGAAAGATATGCTTTGTCATTTTTAATGTCATACTAGCACCTTGAGTTCAATATTTTCAAAGTTCTCTTTGGCTGCTAAACTCGCAACAAGGGAATTGTCAGTATTGTGAAATAAAACATAAAAGAATAAACAAAATTTATAAACCCCATAAAATGCCAAGCCATGCAGATAAAGTCCTATTTAGTGGTTGGGTTTCAGTTGCATGACTGCAGCAGCTTACGGAGGAAACAGAACAAAACAGCGCGCCTTGAAAAGGAGTACACTGACCCTAAGGTCGTCGATCTGGCCAGATAGCTGGTCGAGCAGGAACTCCGTCACGCTTGGCCACTGCGACTTGGCACTCTCGGCGACCTGCAACCTGGCACTCAGGTCGTCCATGGCTCTCTGCAGTGACTGCATCTTCTGCGAGACGCAATGAAACGGCACGGAGTCATCGTAAGAAGTTACTAATTCACAGTTGTGCACAGATGAAACAAAAGAGCGGATTCATAATTACATGGAGGACGTCGTCAAGCCTCTTCTGCCTCTGATCTGAGTGGCTCAGGAAGCCGTTCCAGTTGTCAGACAGCTTTTTAACTTCCCTCCGGATGCTGCGCGTGATCTCCCTTGCCTGCTCGTCCGCATTCCTGTATCCCCTGTTGTCGTCGTAGTCCTTCGCTGTAAAAGACACGGCCCAAAAACTTCGGCTTCGGGGTCTCGGGGAACGTGCAACCAGATTTGAAAAGCAACTCATCAGAAAGTAAAGTTACTATAACAGGTTTGTGAGAACCGTGACAATATTGTAATTGTGCTTCAGCACATTTAAACATATACATCAATCATCTTTTCAGTCGCTTAGACAGGCTTTGGACAGATTAGGGTATAACTATGAAGCAAAAACTGCAAGTTTTGCCACGTGCCTTTTTAGAAAGGTTTTCTTTTTCTTAATTGAGTTTGCATTTATTGCCTCGATGCCTGCAGCCGTCTTTCGTTTGGACGGTCATGGTTTGGACTGAATGGGACTGGTTTCGTTAGGCCGCATTGCGGTTCCCACCGTGCTCTTTCGCTCCATTCGTTTGCTTGTTACGTTTCCTTTCCCTCGCTCTAGCAGGGGACGCGACGGGCACAATAACATGAAGCGCCATTCACTGCTCGTGCACCATCGTACATCTCCCAAATCACTCAGAAGTGCACCGCACAGGCTTGGTTGTCCCGGTTATTGTGTCGTCTGCTAGCTGACGTCCACTTTGAAACTGTGCTCGGGCCGTAAAATTAATGCAACCACACATATCTGATGGCGCACACAATGTCCAAAGGTTCAAGAAGCTTCCTGCTCGTCATACTACAGTGTAAGATCTACATTCCATGGACGCACAGTATGCAGAGTAGGCGGCAATAGAGAAAACCTGTGGTGGCTGCATCCGAAACCGCCAATGCCCCAGGAGAACAGACTGGCTCTCCCGCGACAATGGTATGCAGACCGTTGCAAGGTTGGAATTCCCATTTTTCGCTGACTCAGAACCCGTGCACCAAATATTACCAAATTTTGTCGAGAATCAGCATAACAACGACAATTTCGGCGTAGTTTTCTAAAAAAATTTTTTAGACTACCGGGCCGTTCCTCACTCAAGTGAGGTCCCAACTATAGAGTCACAAGCTACGTTTAAAAGTAACGACACATGAGCCATATCGGTGGTTAAAATCACCGTTGCCAGTTATCCGAAGCTTTATCTAAAATCGCAAGAAACGCTTTTCTGTCCTCCCAGATACATCAAAACGGCCTGCGAAGGAACAGAGCAGCATCACCTCGACACCGCATCTCAAGCTCGGGAAGTCGCATTTTCAAATTGTAATGGTCGCCAGTTGAGCCCACTCCGCACCAAGCACAAAAATGGCGGCGACCACATGAAAACCAGGGAACGGAGTCCTAATGTTTTAAGCATAGGTCACTGAATGACTCTAGTCATGCGACGGCATTCCCCCATTTCCGTCCGTTTCCGACCGGGGGCACTCATTGGGGGCCGTCCCTCTCCGTCCCATTTTTCCTTGAAATTCGCGGCTCTTTCTCGAATGGCGAGTCAGGGCAAAACCACGAGAGGCTTTCGGACACATCAGTCGTCTTGGAGCTCACCTTCCGAGTCGCTCGTGTCTGAGAGAGGTGGTTCCCTGGCGATGTACTGCCTGCCCGCCAGTAGGCTGCTCTCGATAATAGGGCGCTTGTCGTCCACGCCCCTGCGGAAGGCCCGGTGCTCCTCCTGCTGCTTCACGATGGTCGCCACATCACCCCCGATGGCCGACTGCGCCGACAGCTCCGTTTCCCGCTTGATGACCCACTCAGTGAGTTCCCGCAGCGACAACAGCAGCTGGTTCCAGTGCTCTGCATTGCTCTCCAGTCGGTTCCTGCGGCGGGAAGGGCTTGTCCTTGTTCATTGCAATGTGTTGTTCATGTTTTAAGTGACTATTCAACTAGCTTATTTGAGCACCTGTTATTAATGATAAAGTCTGGTAATAGTGAAATGAGCAACTATCTGATAACTGTTTACGAGGAGCGACACAGCCCTGTAGAATCAGATGTCTGAATTCATGATTTGTTTCCTTTATCTGTCTTTCATTTATTCCCATTGAGAACAATACCTATGGAACCATTGCGATGGAACAGAGCAAGTTAATGAGAGTCTCAGCAACTTCAAGTTTGGGCCAAAAACATAAACTTTCTTTGCAGCATCAGAAACACATGAACAAAACATGTCATTAAACAAAGATTACAAAAAAAAAAAGTTAAGTGTTTTAATATTTTAATTTAATGGGAAACAATGGAGTTCTATGCATTCCTTTTCACTGTTAATAAAGGCCAACACATACAATTCTACAATGGGCATGTTCTTTATTATAGTCATAGTCATAGACAAATTTTGAACTACAAACTTTCAAAATGTACACCGATTAGGCAACTAACTGGCCTGTCAGCACTTCCTTAAAGCTCAGAGCTGCCTCTTGAGCGACCAACTTTAAGATTATGAGCTTCCCAATCTGCAGCTTTTCCAGACTGCAGCAATGTTTTGGGAGAAGCCCCTTCCAGGCAGGAAAGAATGTGAGGGTTGCCAGCATTTCATTAGCCGGCATGGCTGCACAACTTAGAAAAACACTGCCCATCCGCATCACTAGTGTTGAGTTAAAAGCTGCTGAATAATAATATAACTTGGAACAAAATCATGTATTTGACTACTATTTTCCCAGAAAAAAAAAAATTACCATCGTGCAAAGGAAATATAGTAAGGGTGCAGGCGAGCTGGTGAATTTCTAACCATGTTGAGTTAACCTCAGACTGGAGAGGAAGAGAAACATCAATACATAGAAGGAAAAGAAAATAGACAGGACAACATTGAGAGGTCGTCCTGTCTATTTTCTGTTCCTTCTATGTATTGATGTTTCTCTTCTTCCCCAGCCTCAGGTAAATTCAACACGGTTACCATCGTGCACTTCTTAACCCCACAAACTTAAAAAATTACAAAATACTGCTTGGTCAAAGAGTTGCGGTCAGGAATGCAGAAGTTGAGGCTGAACATGAAAGGGTGTGAAATTTTACAAGTAGCGAAATACGTCGAAGGAAAAAATGGCTACAGCCAATACCCATTCCGGAACCCTTGGATGTTTCACAGTGTGACAAGATGCCACACATGGGAGAGAAAGAGTTCACCCGGTTTCCTGCCACCAGCTTCAGCTTCGCAGTCCCACTATTAAATGATGTAAAATGTTGATCCACGTCTGCTATACTCCGTTTCAAACATCGCGTGCAACGCTGGGAAAGCTACTGAAGTAGTGCGCATGAAAAAACACACAAAATTGTGTTACCCCGCGAGATTTCGTGGACGAGCGGTACAAGGCGCTGCTCTTGCGATGCCGACATCTCGGTGGCGGTGGTTCGAATCCCCTTAGGGCGCAAAGATTTTTGTTTTTTTTGTTTTTTTTCCTCGACCGATTTTTTGTGCAAGATTGTGCGTATTGCGGAAGTGCATATTTCAATTCCTCTTTTCTTGTTGATTTTATTTATAAGAAGGTAGACTAGGGGCTGGTGTTCCGCTCGAACTTGCGCCGGCCTCGTCAAAACGGAAGAACGGTCGAGATCCAGGGCGTCTCTATTTAAAGCCGTTTATTTACATGGTAGCGTGAAAATCAGAGAGTACCTTGAGAGTGTGGTGGACGGTCCTTTATATAACGAATATTGTGATTAGGGGACCGCACTGCCATTGTTCAGACGGCTTGGCATTCCCTCACGTGATGTGACTTCATGGAAGTTTCCTTCAGAGTCAGAATACTCGCCGGTGTATGGAAGAAGTCATCCAGACGGCAGTATCTCGGTGCTTTGGTGCCGGCGCCCCCATGAACCGGGAGCGATTCACAATAGACGCGTACACAACACACGGCACTCGAGATCAGGATCGAGTGTTGTTTCCTTTTCGAGGAAAGCAGGGGCCTCGGAACACAGACACGGGCATGAGCGTCGTTTACTTAGCCGACCAAGGTTAAGGTGCCTCAGGCAGACGGAGCCGACCATGGTTACGGTCCCGCAGGCAGAAGAACCCAGACGCTTCGGAATGCAATCACGGGCACCGCCTGCTGTAAGGTCCCCCAAGCAGACGGAGCCGTAGGCACGATTCATCACCGACACAGTTCCTTCTTGACGCTTGTTTCACTTTGAAGCCATAAGGCCGATTTCAACACCAGAAACAACAGGTGGCAGTTCACAATACTGTCCGCGTGCTCGGAACTTTCACGTTGCGAGGTCTTCGCTTCGGGGACGCCACCTTGCCAGACACTCCGGTGTCGTTACTGACCGTCTCCGGGACCTCACGGACCGACGTCTCCGGGAAACACGTTCTTGAACTCGCGTACACGTTGGCGATCACCTGCTTGCACTTTTTCGAGATCTTCACACAACGAATCTTCGAAAATATCCGAGCAGGAAAAGAAAGCTTCCCGCGTAAGACGCCATCTTCACGAAACCGGCGAGGCAGGGGCAGCCGCACAACCCGAAAACCCGAAGCGAGTGCGAGTGCCGCACGAACGAAAACGGAAAATAATTTGGAGTGGTTTACATTATCTTTTCCTTTTTATTGAAAAAGAATCGGTGTTCCCTCGAAATCATAACGCCACTATTAGTTACTAGCTACAAAAATGTACACTTTTCGATTTTTTTTTTTTTTTTCAGGGGCCGCACTATTTTGTGGAGCGAACGTAGTCGCGGTCGGCTGTGCAAACGGCGCGCTAGCTTTGACTACGTTGCACGCTATGTTTGAAACGGAGTATAGTGTCCCTCAATTACTGGTACGAGATACAGGTCAAGAATGCTAACGAGAAGAATGATGTTTAAATGAAACACAAGAGTGGCTGACGCTAACAGGAAGAACCCCAAAGGGAACTTCCTAGAAACCTCCAAATAGCAGCTGATGTTCCTCCAAGGGACAGCCTTTTCAGGAGTAGTAGGTCTCTTACTCATAAAGCTAAGCCTCTAAGCTAAGTCTCTTAAAGGGACACTGACAGGGTATTTATGCTCGCCGAGGTTTTTAGTTGTACATGACATATGAGAGCCCAACTACCCAGAACAGAATCTGCGGCTCGAAATTCGGTTTCTTTCCGCCCGTAAACCGTTGATCAAGAACTGGCCGGTTCGAGTCTCGCTCACTCTCTTTTCTGTGGTCACGGGCCGTTTTCTAAGGTTTTGACGCGGCCACCAAATTTAATCAAAGCCGTTGGTCACTGAAGGCACACACTCAATATTAAAAATAGAAAAAAATAACAAAACAATTTTTTGTTGCTTTTAAAAAGCTGCAAATACGTTGATTGAAAAAGACGTTGCACAGAGAACCGGAAGCATTCTGTGCGTGCGTCGCTTCGCGTATCGTGGGACTCGCGGGGACGGCGATGGCAGCAGACGATGGGCGTGGGACCTCTACTTCAGAACTGTCGCTCGCGGTACCGGCGAATTCTGTCTGCCTTTAAGAGAGAAATTTGGGACTGATCAAAAGAATTGGTATTCATCCCATACTACACGCCCGACCACCAAGCTGATTTGCACAAAGACGTCGCCGAGTCATCGCTCCCTTCTCGTGGCTGAAGACATCGCTCGTGCAAACGTCAAGCATTGCACGAAGTGTGTACTTCGAGTTGAATATGCACGCGTACGATTTCTTTACTAGGTGCGAATGTCGCCAATGTGTGGTGCTTCGACTTCGACCCGGGAGTGCTTTTGCTGGAGGAAAATCGGCAGCAAACTTTCCAACTTACAGTTTACCGGCTGTATTACTACTGAGGAGGGAGTTCCCCCAGTAGCTCAGTGGAAAGACGTCCGCTTCACACGTGCCAGGGCCGAGTTCGATCCCCAGTGAAACTGTTTTTTTTTTTTTTTTCAGACATTTTGCGATGTTTACATTTCTTTTTTTTTTTTACAGTTATCACTGACGAAACAAACAAAAAAATAAACAAATGTTGTGGACGAAACATCGCTGAACTAAATGATATGGGATTTCATTTTTGACACCTGCGAGCTCAATGTAATCACTTTCCACAAAATGCAAGGAGCATATAAATCGGGTAGCGTCCGCTTTCCGAGGTGCCCATAAATGTTCTACAGGAATTGCAGCCAGCAATTGGTCCCAATACCGTTGATCTTTTGGAAACTCTGTCACACAATGCCACTTTTTTTCGGATGCAGGACATGTGAGCCAGCTCTTCACGCAACATCTTGGGTGTATTCTTTTCGGAGCCGATTACGGAAATTCACCACGGGCACTCACTACTCATCTCCAACTCCTCAAAGTCATCTTGAGTACAGAACAGTGAGCGGAACAAACATAACTGCAAAAGAATCGCACGGCAAATAATTCCCGCTACACCGCCAGGCATGTCGTCTGCTACGTAAAGGGGAGAAAAAAAAAAAAAAAAAGCGCACGGTCGGGTGTAGCTACGTGACTTCCCCCCATTCTCTCCTCTCCACTTCTCCGACCCCGTGCGCGGGTTTCGGTTTCGAGCAGTTGCGTCTTTTGACTTTCTTAAAAATATACGCTACTCTGTTGCAAAATATTAATTGGGTAGACCTCCGACACCATAATAAAGTACCTGGAAAAAAAAAAATTTGGGGGGGGGGGGGGGGGGGGTCAGTGTACCTTTAAAAATCACATGCAAAGGGGAAAAAAAAAACATTTTTTAGAGCGCAGCTCTTAGGGGCCCGTTTCCGGCTTGAGCGGCGTCGCCGTCGGCGTCGGCGTAACCGCGCGGTGCATCATGGGAAATGTCCCATAATGCACCGCGCGAGCCCCCCACCAAGGTCACGTGACCTCGTGGGGGGTCACGTGACCCCCCGAAGTCACGTGGCCCCCTCCTCGAGGTCACGTGACCCCCGCCGATGTCGCGTGACCCCCCGATGACGTCATCGTCACTGATGACGTCACCGGCATCCACATCGTCATCGTCATCATCACTGATGACGTCACCGGCATCCACATCGTCATCGTCATCACTGATGACGTCACCGGCATCCGCATCGTCATCATCACTGATGACGTCACCGGCATCCACATCGTCATCGTCACTGATGACGTCACCGGCATCCACATCGTCATCGTCATCATCACTGATGACGTCACCGGCATCCGCATCGTCATCATCACTGATGACGTCACCGGCATCCACATCGTCATCGTCATCATCACTGATGACGTCACCGGCATCCACATCGTCATCGTCATCATCACTGATGACGTCACCGGCATCCACATCGTCATCGTCATCATCACTGATGACGTCACCGACATCCGCATTGTCATCGTCATCATCACTGATGACGTCATCAGTGACGTCACTGATGTCGTCACCGGCATCCGCATCGTCATCGTCATCATCACTGATGACGTCATCAGCGACGTCACTGATGACGTCACCGACATTCGCATCGTCATCATCACTGGTGAAGTCATCGGTGACGTCACTAATGACGTCATCGGTACCCGCATCGTCATCGTCACTGATGACGTCATCAGTGATGACATCATCGGCATTGGGGGTCACGTGACCCCCAAGGTAACGTGACCCCCCCCTGGTTAGTTTAACCCCCCCCCCCCCAGTGCCCTTCCCTCCTCCTCAAGAGCTGCGCTCTAATTCGGCGTTACAGGGAGTTGTAAGCGGCTTTCATTTTTTTTAAACAGCTTGGCTGGAAAAGAAAGTCATAAAACGAATTTACAATGAAAAAGAAACATTTTTAGAGCTATATTTACGCCGCGATACGAATAGACTACTTCCATAAAGCCCTGCATGCAACACGGCGCCCGTTGCACTCTGGGAACTAGTTGGCCAGGGAGGAGGGTGTCATGGTTTCGGTTTCGATCGACACGTCGACAAGATATTGTTTTCTGGTCCCGAGAGCGTCATTTGTGGTCTCTAAACTAACCTAAATGGTCAGACCTCGAAGCTTTAGCACAAGCCCGAGATGTATAGCTTGTCTTAACACATGCTTGTTGTATTTTTGTGCTTGAGCCATCCTGTTAGCGTTCCAATCGAGGTATGTGGACGAGCCAGTGCTGGGAGTCTCGACGCTGCGAAGCTCGGGTGCTCGGGGATCTTGCTTGTGAACGAATCAACAAGCTGTAGCAAACAATAAGTATGCATACATCGAGCTCGCGCCTTTACATTAGTGTTGTTGATCAGGAAGTTTGTTTGCTTCGTGCGTCCATAGACGAAATATAACTTTTTGCAATTACTGTTTTTCTTAATGTGCCTGAGTATGCGAGGTAAAACTCGGAGGTGCCATTGAAAAGCTCAATTTTAACACACTTCTTATCTCTTATTTGCACTGACCCGCAGCACTGCACGAAGTGAAGTCCCCACCCGCTTGCATTTCACTAATATTCAACATCGCGTATGCGCATAGAGTTATCCTGCAATCATATAGGCGAATTTGCGCATACAGACCGTTTTATGAATGCAAAAGTCGAGCACTTCTGTGAAGAATGTCGCACCGTTCGCCGGAAGTGCGTCAGACGGGCATGAACCCCTATGCGCACCGCATTGGGGTTCATGCCCGTCCGGCGCACGGTGCGACATTCTTCAAACAAGTGCTCGAACGAATTCAAAGCGTATTTGACGGTTGCTAATGGCCATTATATTTGTTATGTGTTTGCTTTCTTCCTGCCTGAGTATGCCGAGATAATTTCAGACACACCGTTCCCGGCACAGATCTCGGGCGTCAGTAAAAGCTCGTCCAAAAAGGCTTAGCGAGGAGTAGGGGAGGCTTGTTAGGGCCTCCGTCGTAGCTAGCCGATCTCAGCGTTTGCGGAAAGTTAATCTTCTATCAGCATAAAGTTTGAGTGGGAGATATATGATGACACGAGGAAGACATCATAGTAACTTTTGTGCAGTACAGAGGTCGAATTTATTGCGTTTTCTTAAAAGTTCATGCGTAAACGCTGTCCTCAACTTTGATACCCCGTGAGGATGCGGCTTGCTTTTCGTTCAATGAAGTAACAAGAAGCGGACGTTTGGCAAACAAATTGCGTGTAAGGCTCCAGACGAGCAAATTTCAGTTGTAGTTGACTGGTACTAGACGGGATTACTGACATTGAGCTCAAAGATGCATTCGTCGGGTGAGGTGACTAAGCCACGACTTACTACGTTCGCATACGCACGCACAATATCTGGTGTTTCGGGAACCAAGGAAAGTGCCCCGGTCTTCGTTTTGTATCGCTCGATAATGAGTGTATTGTACGTTCGTAAAGAGTCAGATAATCGAAAACGGAAGCAGCGCGTTCGGTCGCGCCGTGATAGCATGAGATGAAGCTGCTCAGTCGAAACCGAAACTGAGTGGCCAACTAGTTCCCAGAGTGCACTGCGTGGCATTTCGCCGCGATGGGGCGCGTCGGTTTTGGAAGAAGTCCATTTGTAGTTGGCGCTAGCGGGCGCCGCGGAAAAATGGCCGCTATTTATCACGTGATTGGCCGCTATTTGTCACGTGGTGCTTCCGCTCTTTAGGAAGCTTTTCATGATCTCAAGAACTCACTCATTGATCTTCGGTTGAAGTGCAACAAAAAACTAAGATTAATAAGTAACTTTTAGAGCCCAAAGGAAACGCCTGAAAAAGCGCAAGCAGACTTGATAGACCTTAGCGCCGGTCAGATGACGGCGGCGGCGCCCCGGAGCAGACGAACTTGCGCGGCGGCGGCGGCGGCCTGGAGAAACAAACGCGTTGAACCGGCGGCGCACCACGCCCAGCGTGCGGCGGAGGTGTGACTGGCGGCGCAGCGCGACGGCGCACAGGTCTACAACGTGACCCGCGGCGGCTCCCGCGGGCGCCAACTACAAAGTCGTTTTGCGCCGTAAATATAGGTCTAAAATATCTTTCTTCGTCGTAAATTCGTTTTATAAAAATCTTTTTCCATCTAGGCTGTTTGAATTTTTTTTTTCCTTTGCATGTGTTTTTTAATGAAACTTCAACTGCCATACTGAGGCTTCTAGGAAGACTTTTTTTCAAACAGATTCAATGGAACATGCAAACTTTTAAGAAAATTCAAATGACAAAAAAAAGTCATACCGTAAAGAAACGGTTCTCATGCGCAGGTTGTTCCAGCGGCTGTTCATTTCGTCGAGCTTTCGGCGCAGGTGGAGTGCTTCGTCATTCCTGGTCATGGACTGCAGGACGTGGGCGCTGCGTTCATTGATGGTCAGGTGCAGGTCCCGCTGGCTGTCGATCTCGCGCTGCAGTTCCTGCAAGAGAGAGGGAAGAGGGTCGTGAGACGTAAACTATGCAGTGACTGCAGCCCTTGCTTCTGGTTACGATACATATATGATACACAAGGAAGGAATCTGAAGAAACTTAACACTGCCAGGCACAGCAGAGAGCTTTGAGATATAGGTATTCGGATGCCCTGTGTGCATCCCTAATACTTTTGTTTTTGTACTATCATAGCTGTTACACCCGTCTTTGCTTTTAGTTTGTGATATCATGTGCAATTGATAAAATCGATGTTATGATATCATGCACCATGTGCAAAGGGTTGACGATGATGATTATTGGACGCAACAGCAACATATTCCATACTATGCCAAGCTAAATTCATTTATCGTGATACTGTTAATATAAGCACGTGATCGCTAGTTTTCCTTATAATTCTCTTAGAACTGAAAGTATGGCATAAAAACTACCCATGTGGCGGAAAGCCCTCACCCGGGGCACTGACCAAGGTGATAAAATTTGGTACCCGTCAATACACTGTCCGAGTAAAATACAAAAAAAAAAAAATGATGCAATGTTCACAATAGCAGTTTTGGCAAGGTGTACAAATTATATGATTTGTGATAGAATAACTCCGAAGTGATTCTTGTAACTGTTGCCTCTGTTGGCATTTACCCCTTTTTTTAACTGAACACCCACTATCCTACAAGAAAACCTAACAAGGATGCCCTAGTTTTTGTAAACAAGCAATTCCATTCAATCTGAAACAACCATACAGAAGCTGAATAAGTCATTAAACCTTACTCCAGGGTTGACTTTCGGTAATGCAGTCTTGTGTATGGAATTTGAAGTATAATCAAGCTTAGAGGTAAGACAGAGGAGCGAAGGCAGGTTAGCTTTAGGGGCACATGGTAACACACCAAATGAAGGGAACAGGGGGATAGGGGTTGGGCATCCTTTGAGAGCAGAGAGGCAACAAGTAAAGTCTGACCAAAGGTTAACTGTTTCGGAGCAGATGATGTGGGCAGCTAAGGTATATAAGTTCCTATAGAGGAAAAGCTCGAACACAAATTGGGCAAAACGAACTCGAAAGCTCGGAAACAAATTTTTACAGGCGGACAGTGCAACAAAGTCAGAAGGATGCAGAGAGAAAGAGTGAGAGATGTAGGAAGGTAGTATGCCAAAGAAATCAGCTTTAACTATGTGTAGTTCAGAAAAACAGGAAATAAGGAAAGAGACTTCGATAATTTTCGGGGGAGCTCTTTACTGTTTGAGGCCAGAACTGGGGTACTAAGAACGAAGACTTATAGGGCAAAATTCGAAGATATATATACAGTTTGTTGCATATGTAGAATGGAGAGCGAAACTACGGGACACCTGGTTTTGAGGTGCAAGCTTCTTAAACCTGCCCTCCCTACGGGGAGAACAGACGTAAAGGGGGCCCTGGGTTTCGGTGGAGAAGATGGAAGGGTGGATTATAAAAGGGTTGAGGTAACGAAAAGAAGGTTAGAGGATTGGTGAAAGGAGACTAGAGAAAATTTAAATTGATAAAAACAGCCAGTACAACTGGAGACAGGGAGGACAAAGGAAAATTGGGACTCCCTCCCGCGTGGCTCCGGCCCAAAGTCTCAACCCTGCCTCTCCGTGGCTCTGGGTTTTGGAAAGAACCCCAACAAGGTTGACCAGAGGAAAATTGGCGACTCCCTTGCCGAAGAGGGAAGGCGGGGTGCGTTTTCCTTTTTTCTTTTGTATTTGCCCAATTCCCCAAAGGCCAGCCTGATGGTTCCTTCCTCCAGTCAGGTGATAGTTGCAAGGATGTAAAGGGAACGAAATTGGGTATTTAAGTGGGGAGGAAAGCATTTTTTCCAGGCTAGGTGGCGCAAGCTCCCGCCCGTTACAAAAGGCATAGCCAATATCATCCATCCATCCATCCGTCAGAGTTGTTAGTTCGGTATCAAGACGGAGAACAACGTTCTGCGTAGTGTTGGCGCAAAATCCTCACAATTTAGCAGAATGCATCAGAAGGTCGCAGGATGAACACCCGAGCAGAGCTTGGCATGAACGAGGCACTGCACTCACTTTTCTGCCAGTGGGACTAAGCTTTTTTGGAAGACGAAAGCCACCATTTTGTGTCCACGTATGATATATAACTCAACATACGCACCAGAGAAATGAGAAAGGAAGTTGACATAGTACAAGAAAAATATGCGCGATTTCCAAACTTCAGCGCAAATTGGGTGCTTCAGCCACGTTCCATCGAGACCCGGCGCAAGTACCCAATTTAGCGCCACCCTTCTCCCACAAAGCTTCAAAAATAAATAATCAAGAAAACCTGCAGACACACACACACACAAAAAAAAAACAAAAAAAAAAAAAACTTCTTCAGAATGCCTAGAAATCTCCCCCGAGTAGAAGCATCAACCCCAGCTAGTTGAATCAGTCACGAACTGAAAGGAGCTAAAATGATTTACGTACAAAAACTTGACACAGACAAAAGAAAAAAAAAAGCGGAATTTAATTAGGACTGTCATAGTAGGTAGGGGCGGAGACATATTCGAGAGGAGAACCAGCAAAAGAGGAACGATGCATCACCGAGAAGTCAACCATAAATTTTTAGAAGTAGTACGCGAGAAAAATTCACATGTTTCAAATATCCCCCAAAATCAATTTGTATGCGCGAAATGTCGCCTCCATTCTTCATGTGGCTTTCTTTCCGCCAGAACTACCGCCCCCCCCCCCCCCTTAAAAAAAAAATCCAGAAAAAAATATTGCGTTAGGCTTTGACTATCCAGAAAGAAAACGAAAATGCACGAACCGAGAAAAAAATTGTGGAGAGAACAGGGCTAAGACATCGAAACGTAGCCACTCAACTAAAAGCGCGAAGTCACGGAGCATTCACTGTGCTTGATTGGTTCAGCTGGTGCTGATAACAGACGCCAGGAATGGTCGACGAACGCCGCGAACAACATGACCTTGCGCTTCTGGCGCAGCCTCACTGGACCCATCGGTTCGTAACGTCGGCTGCGCTCTGACTTATGCCGAAACAACTGCACCCGGAGAGCAAGTCGTCTGCTTCTTGCGCAAGAGCTGCGATGACGTCAGAAAGACGCCGAGCTCTGACTGAAGGATAGTGGGAAGACATCAAAGCCAGCTGCCTTGAGGTCTACCCACTATCTTCCATTCAGAACCAATCAGAGCTCGCCGTTCTGACGTCACCACAACCACGGCAAAAGAAGCAGACGAACTTGTGGTCCGCCTAGACCTTTCCAGCACGTATAAACCGGACAAAAAATGCCGAGTCACTGAGCTGTGAACGCATGCGCAGCGTCTGATATACCGCACAACAGAGCTATAGCGCATGCCGAGAAAGCGTTCCACAGCCCAGCAGACAAACCAATAACCGCCTGCGTGCTGCCATCTTTGTCTAGTGGGCGATGGAACGCGTTCTGAGCGTGCGCAGTAGCTCTCTTCCACGTAAAATGAGACGCCGCGCATGCGTCCACATCCCAGTGACTTGGCGATTTTCACCAAGTCAGTAGGGAAACTGCAATAGAGCCAGAAATCGCAGCACCAGCACCCCCCCCCCCCCCCCCCCCCCCCCTCTTGTGGCCCGCCGCGACATCGCCCCTGAGCGCTGCACCCGGAGCGGCACCCGGGGTGGCACCCGGGGCCGGATGTTTCATATCGAACTCCGCACTGTGACTTTCTCTTGGAAACAGTGGAACGGTCTAGAACAGAGCGACAGAAAACAGCCAAAGCTCAAAAGGCGGAGGAAGCATCCGCGGTGGCGCGAACGCGCCCGACTGACGGTTCCCGAGGAGGGAAGAGAGAGCGACCGTCGAGAATGGTGCTCCAAATTAAATTCGCCCGTGGCAGCGGGATGCCCAAAGAAGAGCGAGCAAGCAAGCAGAGGGCCCCGAGTGTCGTCTCGAGTGGTTCCGTCGACGAAAGTCTCTGGCGCGCATGTCCCCACAGATGGCTCTTCGCTAATGAAAAGAACCGGCAGCGGCGGACAAGGGGAACAATAAGAGCAGCAGAGAACCACTCGTCGCAGTCGCGCTGCCGGGATTGCCTTTTCTACGGTCGTCGCTCTCCCGCTTTCAGCGAGAACGTCTTGGTACGTCCACGAGCCCCAATCTACCGCATCTCCCGCGGCGACGGACACACCCGGAAGCCCCAGGCAGCAGAAGAGATCGAAGCGGGAGACGTTCTTCTCGGGAGGGGACCATCGAAAACAAAAGACGCCATTCACACAACGAGGACCGACTTTTTGTTGCTGTTTTCTTTTTACGAGGGAGGGGCTCTCCATTCTAGCGCATGAGCGAGAAAACTTCTCCAAGTCAAATCCAAGCGTTACGAGTGCGTTTCCAGCTGGAAGACGAAGTAGGCACGCAAACTGCCAGCATTGGGGATATTTTTATGCTGGCCCGACTGTTCTCATTAATTAATTGTGAAGAGTGAAAGTATTATTTCCAGCGACCTCTCGGATTTCGAACTAACTAGTCTCGGAATGCCGCCGCCACGAGCCTTTCGTCGAAATGAAGTTTCTCTATCGCCAAACTGTCACGGTGACTTCTTTTCTGGGGAGGAACGCAGAAAGGTAGCCGATGTTATTGCCTGTCTGAATATTGTAGCAGCGCCGTAGCCAACACAGCAAGCTTGTACCCTTTTGGAAAACACGGAAGGTTACGCGAGGCAAGGGGAGATGGACGCTGTGAAGACACGAGGATCAGAAAGGCGTTGTGAGACTCGTATAAAAAAGTGAAAGCCGCTTACAACTCCCTGTAACGCCGAATTGGAGCGCAGCTCTTGAGGAGGAGGGAAGAGCGCTGGGGGGGGGGGGGGTTAGACTAATCAGGGGGGGTCACGTGACCCCCAATGCCGATGATGTCATCACTGACGTCACTGATGACGTCATTAGTGACGTCACTGATGACTTCGCCAGTGATGATGACGATGACGATGCGAATGTCGGTGACGTCATCAGTGACGTCGCTGACGACGTCATCAGTGATGATGACGATGACGATGC